AGGATCTGCTCCCCAGGCAGCATCCCCTGTGCCTTTGATGCTGTCCCCAAGCGAGGTGGCCTCGGGCATCCCCCGCCGTGCCGAGCAGGCGCTGGTTTTGCACCCCTGGTGCCCAGCGTGGCCGCGGGGCAGAGGCGGCGCGGGGAGCGCAGGCGGCAGCTGGCGGGCAGGGCGCTGCCCTCCGGGGCCGCTTTGATGCGGGGGGTCCCCGGCTGTGCACAATGGGAGCCGGCCCTGCCTGCGGGCTGGGGCTGCAGTGAAGCAAGGGTGATTGATGGCCTTGTTTTCCTCCTCCAAAGCCCGTCCCGAGCCGTGCGGATCTATGGCCGAGGTCCCCAGAGAGCAGGAGGAGGACGGCGGCGGCTGCCCGGGCTGCAGGCAGAGGTGTCGGGGGGGCTGAGGTTGCTGCTGCCCTCCAGGCTGATGGGTCAGGTGCTGGAAGAGCGCCGTGCCTCAGTTTCCCCATCCCTGCTGCCCCTCGGGATGGGTGTCGGTATCTCTGGGTGACACAAATCCCACAAAACTGCCCCGGCTCCTCTCAGGTGTGTGGGGCATCCCTAGAATTAAGGCAAGCACAGGGAGCACAGGAGCCCCATCTGGGATAACGCTCCAGCCAGTTAACCTCCCGAAAACCGAGCTCAGTTCCAGCTGATGAGTCAGGGCTGTGTTTGCGCGATGCGCTCCCTGCAAGCAAGGTTTCCACCGCAGAGCTAACAGCCTTTTCTGGGAAGCACTGGGGCTCTGGGCTTCCTAATTATTTTCAAAGCCTATTGGCAGCATCCCTCAGACAGGGATTATGCCTGCCTGAAACGCAGCACTCGAGCATGTTCAGAGTCCTGAAAGTGCTAATTGACTTTACGTTTCACATCGCTGTCAAGAGCCTGCTCTCCCGCAGCCTGGTCCCTCCTCCTGCTCCTGCGGCGAACCCGCCCGCATGTGGTTTGAATTTCTTCCGCAAGAGAAAAAGCTCCTTTCTCCTGCCTCGGTGTCATCTTTCCCTGGAATTTGGGGGAAACAGAGAGGAGGACAAATTTTCACGGAGCGACTACCTCCCCTCTCAAGGAAACGAAGGAAGAAAGTGAAGGGCGAAACTAATTCCAGGAGCACGAGCCACCGGTGCCCCGTCCCACCCTCAGCCCTTTGGCACGGTGATTTTGGCCATCCTTCTGGTGGCTCCTTTCGTGCCAGTAGGTGATGGGTGGCTGAGCAGAGCTGCGTGAAGGAGGGCCGAACAGTGGAGCAGGCTCAGGAGTGGGGATCCCATCCCTCGGGCTGCTTGCCAGGGAGGCTCCGTGCGCACAGAGCCACGTGTGGGCACCCGGCAGGAGCCACCCCCCAGCACCCAGCCCTGCTCGGCCTCAGCCAGGTGATGTGCAGTGGTTTCCCCATCCGCAGAAAGGATAAACAGCGCGCCGACCCAAGGGCGGGCCGATGCTCTCAAATGACAGCAGCTCCCGACGCCTGCGGAGCCGCCGCGGCTGCTCGCAGGAATCCCAGCCAGGAATTGGCCGTGGCCCCTCGCTGCCTTCTCCTGCCCGGCTCCGTGCCATGGCTGGTGCACGTGGCCCAGCGTGGTGCAGCGTGGCACGGCACAGCACGGCACGGCACGGCACGGCACTGGCATGGCATGGCATGCAGCATGGCACGGCACGGCACACCGGTGAGCCAGCCGCCCTGGCCCTGCTGGCTGCCATTCCCAGCACGGAGGGCTCACGGGCTGCAGGCGATTGAGAAATCGGTTTCCTCTCCTCCTCCTTACGACATTGCAGTGGGCGCATCCACCGGGAGCAGTGAGGCAGTGGGAAAGTATGAAGGTCAGGGGAGGCTGTGGTTTGTGTGACGGAGGTGAGCCCCGGCTGATGCATCCCTCCACCTGCCGGCGCCCGGCTGGCTCCTGCCTCCTCTCTCTCCACCACGAGGCCCAAATCCTGCCGCTCTCCTGGGTTAGAGAGGGAGGAGAAGGGCCACACGAGGCTCCTCTGCATTTCCAGCACCAGGAGCAGAAGGGTTGCTACTGGTTCCTTCCAGATCCAGCAGTGGATCCTGATGAACCCGTGTGATGTGCGCAGGGCGCTGGCTGCTCCGGGGGCTTCACGTGGCTCCCTCCACGTCGCTCCTGCCCCCGGCTCTGCTCCACCAGCCCACAAAGAGGATGCGGTGCGGAGCCGCCGGCCACCTCGCCTGCTGTCCAACGCCAGCCCCAGCGTTTGCGGCGGCCGCCGTGACGCGCTTGCCTTGCAGCACTAACGAGCCGGCTCTGCAATCCTCGTCACCTCATTAACGACTTGGCTGCCGCATCCCGGCCCAGGCTGTGCCGTCCGCTGCCTCCCACGTAGCTTGCAGGCTGCGAGACTGGCGTTAGGGGAGCCACTTTCATGTGGCCAGAGGTTTTCATCATCAGCGAGCTGCAGTGAGCCAGGAGCTGGGGCAAAGGAGGGACGAGGGGGGACGGGCACCATGGGCTCGGCAGGGGCAGCTCTGATTTAGCGGCAGCAGAGCCCCAGGCATGGGGGATGCGGCCCTGGGGAGGGGATGCACGGAGGGCATCCCGCTGTACCCCATCAGAGGGCTGCTAGGGGGTCTCAACCTTGCTCCTGTAGCCCCCCAGGACATCCCCAGTCACCCCTCATGTGTGGTCCAGCACGGCTGGCACCCGTGGGGATGCAGGAGGCCGTGCCCCAGGTTGGTGTGAGGGTGGAGAGGATCTCAGCCTTCATCCCCGCTAGAAGATCTGCTGGATAAAATGGAGCCAGAAAGTCTTTTAATGTCTGCATGTGCCCAGCTGGCCTCCATCAGCACGGAGGCACCAACCTGGGGACTGGCGGGCAGCTCCAGGTCCCCATCCTGGCCGTGAATCACAGGCCCCGCAATGGAAAAGCCCCGGCTCCAGCATTTCCTGGTGTTCTCATCGAATCCTGATCAGATGAAGCAGACACATCCGTGGGACTGCATTTCTCGAGCCACCCCCAGAAGGATTCAGCCTGCCCAGGAGAGCCCCGAGCCCCCAGGAGCTGCCCACCCTCCAGACCCTGTTCCCAGAGCAAGGGGCAGAGAGGTCCGGCTGCACCGAGCCTGTGTCCCTGTGTCCCCGTGTCCCCCAGTCCATTGCGCCCACCACCCCGTGAGGCTCTCCAGGGCTCAGGACAGGGCTCCTGCAGCTCCTGCCCAACAGGCACCGGGACCATATGAGTCTGACAGCCCCACAACACACATCCTGTTCCCCACACTCCCCCCATAACCTCACAAATGAGCAAAGCAGGAGCTGAGTCCCACATTCCTATTGCGAAGCCCTGGCTCTGTGGAAATCGGTGCTAATTTCCTGCCCTTTCCCACCTGGCCAGCTCGTTTCTCTTGGCTTCCATGCCACGGGTGTCTTCTGCGGAGCTGGGACTGACGGGGGCATTAGCAAGAGGTGCAACATTTCCACAGCCACCAGGGAAATGATTCACGGGAACGGGCAGCGCTGAGCAGTGAGGACGGTCTGTGGTCAATTGTTCAGCTTCAGTGACTTCTTGAGGGGGAAATGGAAAGAGCGGACAGTGTGAGTTAATTAATAGACGCATAATGAAGTCAAGATGAATCAGAGCATCCCCAAAGGAGCTAGATCTCAGATTGGGAAAGCAGCAGATGATGGCTTTCCCTGGCATGAGGCTGCTTTATCCAGGACCACTCCAGCCCCAGCCTCCTGCCACCCGCATCGAGGACACGCCAGAGACACCGGCTCCAGCCCCAGGCCACAGCGGGGCCAGGAAACAGAGCCCCTGACTACAGCTCAGTGGCAACTTTAAGCAGAACTCAAGTGTTATAAACAGGGAAAGGAGATGTGGAAAGAACCAGAATAACATTGTCATTAGCTGATCGCACTTTTGGTCCCTTTGGGTGCCGAGGGAAATACTCAATAGGGATGCGCACGTGAGCACAGCCACAGGTTCTTCCAGATTTTTAATAACTGGATCAGCAAATGGTTTGGTCACAGGCTGATCCTTGGTGAGGAAGAGCCCGGGGTTAGGGAGCAGGAACCAGGCAAAACTCCCAGCCACGTGGCTGCTTTGGGCACCTCCTTGCTCACAGCAGGCAGTGAGGTTGGTGCCACCACATGGAGCCCCCTTGGAGCCCTGCCACATCCACAGCCTCGAGAGGCAGCAACGACACAGACCTGGCATGCAGTAGTGCTAAATTTTTTGGGGGAATAAAAACCCTAGCCTCCCTGCAATCTGAGAGCAGCCCTGCAAAGAGGGACTTTGGGCTACCGATGGGTGAAAAATTGGTTATGAGGCAGCAGTGTGCACTTGTAGGCCAAAAAGCCAGCTGTGTTTTGGGCTGCATCACAAGGAACCTGGCCAGCAGGTCGAGGGAGGTGATCCTCCTCTGCTCCGCTTTCCACCTGGAGCTCTGCATCCAGCTTGGGGACCCAGTACAAGACAGACACGGACCTGGACCTGATAGAGGAGGTCTGGAGGAGGCCATGAACATGGAGAAAAGACTGACGAGAGTTGGGGTTGTTTGGCCGGGAGATGAGCAGTCTCCAGGCTGACGTTATTGCAGCCTTCCAACATACAGAGGGGGCATGTACGGAAGAGAGAGTAAGACTTTACCAGGTCCTGAAGTAACAGGACAAGGGGTTTTGATGCAAAAGAGGGCAGATTTAGGTTGGGTATATGGAAGAAACTACACTCTGAAGGGGGTGAGATGCTGGAACAGGGCAGCTGTGGATCCTGAAGGGCTCACAGTCTGGTTAGAGGGAGTTTTGCACACCCGACAGAGGGGCAGATGCCCCTGATCACGGCAGGGGTGGTCTTAATAATATTAATCTTAATAATTAACAACGTCTGCCCCTTTCCAGCCCAAACCATGCCGTGATCCCCCAGCGGGGGGGCCGGCCGTGGAGCACCGCTGCCCCTCGCTCCCTGCGGCTTCCATTTCCCCCCAACCCCGGGGCTTAAAGCAGGGGACGGGGGCCCCCTAGTGAGGCTCGGCCCGGTCCGCTTTGACTCCGACCCGATTCGGGCTCTCCCCGGGGATCTCAGCCCCGGCCCGGCCCGGCGGAGGGCGGGGGCCCGGCCCGGCCGCGCCTCCTCGGTGCGGCCATGGCGGGGCTGGAGGCGCTGTACGCCTCGGCCCGGGCCGCCGTGTCCCGGCCGCAGGATGCGCTGCTCTGCGGCCTTCATTGGGAGCTGGTTCGGCACGGCTACCGCTGCCTCGGTGCCGGGGAGCAGGTACGGGTCGGGCATGGCCGGGCCGGGCCTCCCGTTCCCGGCCGACCGCTGCGCTAGGCCCCGCTAGGCCCCGCCGAGCCTCGGACTTTCCTAGCGCCGCTCCCCGCCCACGCTCGGCCGTGGCCGGCCGCCGCGCTCGGGGAGGGCGCTGGGGGGGGGTGCGGGTAGCGGAGGGGTCTGGAGCTTTGGGAGTCGAGGGGGGAGGCTCCCGGGTGTTGTTGGGGGGTGTCCCGGTGGTGGGGGGGGGGCCCATTGGTGAAGGTGGGGGTTTGGTGTAGTGTTGGGGGGGGACGGGGCTGGAGGGGTTTGCTGTTGGGTTTGGGGGGGACCCAGTGGGAAGCCAGGGAAGGGGGCAGTGTGGTGCTGGGGGGGAGGAATATTGCTGTGGGTGTCTTGATGGTGAGGAGGGGGATATGGGGTCAGGAGCCTGGTTTTGGGGGTTGCTAGGAGGGCACCTGATGTGGTACGGGGGGCAGTGGCACTGGTTTGGCAGAGAAGCCCCCCACTACCTCGGGAGGGGACAGTTTGGGGGCAGTGCCATCCTCCAGCTGCTCTGCTGTGGGGCTGGGACAAACAAGGTGACAGCCACGCAACGCTGGGGAGCTGCAGGGTGCCAGGAGACAAAGAGCATCATCCACCAGTCTGGGTCTTTGTTGGTTCCTGCTCAACAAGGGGTGGTTTTGCCCCCTTCTGTTCTGCCTGGTGGGCAGGGTCTCAGCAGCATGTCTGTCCTGTTGTAGCCACGTCCTGATGAACGAAAGTCGGAGCTGCTGCCTGCTGGCTGGGAAGCCAACAAGGAGGTGTACACGCTGCGCTACAAGTCCACAGATGATGCCCGTGAGCTGCTGCTTAAGGCCATCATGGTGGAGGACAGTATGATCGTTAATGTCATGGTGAGTACCCGGGCTGGTTGCTGCGGGAATTGGCAGGTGTGGTAGGGACCTTAAAGATTATCTAATTCCACCTCCCCTACCATGGGCAGGGACTGACTCTGGCCTGGGAGTTGCCCCTTCTGCGTCCCTTTTCCAACTGGGGATGTGTTTGTAAACCCCTTCCCAACCAGCACATGCCCAGGATGGTTTTGCCCCATGACACAGCTTCTTGTCTCTGACTGTGCTGTGAGATTTTGGTCTTTCACCTTTGCAATCCGGGCTGGGGGAGCAAGCAGGGAGAGCCTTGCTGTACGCTGCAGTTTGTTTGCTCCTGGGTTTCAGGCACTGCACAGGGATGTGGACAGAAAAAAGGCAAGCTCATTCCTCATGTCCTGAGCCCCTGTCTGTGGCTGTACCTGCTCCCTGCCCTAGGCCCAGCTTTGCCTGGCTGCTGACACCTTCCTTCCCCTGTCTTTTGCCAGGATCGCACTTCTCAGAAGGTGGCAGATGTGACCTTGGCGGTGGCCGACTACATCAACCCAGAGTACCTGGATGATTTCCACAAGTAATCGCAGTTCCCTGGCATTTTCTGCAGGAGAAAAAGTCCCAGCAGTGTAGGGAGGGGGGCAGATGGAATCAGAGACCAGGCTAGGAAGAGCCTGGAGGACTTTTCTGTCCTGTACAAATCCAGAGGCAGAGCAAGAGAGATTCAGGAGACAGTGGGGTCCTGATCATAGCCCAGGGGACAGCCACGCCACCTGTGAACGGGCTGTGGCCAGCCTGGTGCTTTTATTTCCAGAGCACTGCCTGCCTGGCTGTGCTGGGTGGAGGCACCTCCGCCCTCTCAAATGGGGCTGGGGCCTCAGAGCTGCTGTGTGCTGTTGCCCCTTCCCATCCCCTCCGTGCTGCCAGCTGGGGGCACGTTTTGTGCCAGGGACGCTTCAGGCATGTCCATCCCCTCACCTCTCCCCTCACAGCCCATCCAGCACCCTCACCCCCGGGTGCCGTGGCCTCCCCATCCCACTGCCTCCCCTCTCCTCCCTGCAGGGTGTACAAGAACATGGAGGAGCTGAGGGCAAAGATCTCTTCAGGTATCATCGCCCCCCTCGGAGGCCCTGCAGAAAAGGAGAAGGAGCCCAAGGCAGAGAAGGAGGACCCTGTCTTGCCCAGGGGTTACGACCCCCTCATGGCCCCTCCTCGGCAGCCTGCGGGCACGAGAGCGCCGTCCTGGTGAGTTTCTCTTTCCTCTGGCAAAGCTGAGGACAGGGGACACACACAACCCACTCCATCATCCCTCCTTGGCCCCTTTGTGCCCAGCCATGCCTCGTGTGTGCCGGGCAGGTTCCCCCCTCTCTTCCCTCACAAGCTGTAATCCCTTTTGGCCGCAAGTCAGAGACGCTGCGGTGGCTCCGCTGTCCCTGGGGAGCCGGCTGTGGCTTCTACCCTGTACGGCACCTCTTGTTTCTTCGGCCCCGCTGCTGTCTGCTGGTGCTCAGGGTGCAAGCTGCTCCTTGGGGAGGCCCCGCACGCCCGTGGGCAGACAGGCTGGAGCTGGGCATGGCTCTGAAACCGCGTTATTGGCACATAGTGCTGGCAAGGAGTTGTGACAGCTGGCTGCAGGCTCGCCACCCCAAAACCTCCACGCTCCTGGAAGCGGGACTGTCATTGTGTGGCTGCCTGGGACGCGCTGGAGAGCCTGGCACTGCTCAGGGAGCCCCTGGCATGGAAACTGCCAGCATCCACAGCTGCAGCCCGGAGCGGTGGGAGCAGCAGGGCTCCCTTCATCTCTGCAAGCTTCCCGCGAGCCTGCCGTGCGCACCGACATCCCCACCCGGCTGCACCCCGGAGCAGGGAATTGCTGTGTCTGGGCACGGAGCGGCTCCCAGAGCCCGCTCGGTCCCACTGGTCCCAAGACTTTTTGGGTCCTGCTGTGCAGAGCTGTTGCTCTTGCTGTCGGGAAGGCTCCTGTAAGCACACAGCAGCACCAAACACGCTGCCTGCTCGCTCCTGGTGGCTCCATGGGGCCGGTCAGCCCCTCACCGACCTCCTCGCTCACTCTGTGCTCTGTTTCAGGCCTCGTCCCCTGAACCCCTTTGCTGTCGGTGGGGAAGACCTGGACCCTTTCGGGTGAGTGTGGCTGGGAGAAGCGGTGCTTCGCGTGCCTGAGAAGAGGAGCGTCCCCTGCTCTGCCCTGGGGAAGGGTGGGGAGGTTGGGGCTGCTCCTCAGACAGCCGGGGTCCGCCTGGCTCAGGCATCCCGTGAAGCGTCTCCGAGGGCGGGCGGCAGCAGGACGGTTCCTCAGCGCAGAGCGGTTGGACGGACGGTTTCTAAACCTCAATGTGGTTCTAATATCGTAACAGGATCCCGTCGCTTGCATAGATGATAGGTTGCAATCTGCGTCTGTTTAATAATCAGCCTGTATTCATTTACCATGCACTAATTCCTTCAGTAAATCAAAGCTGAATACGTCGTTAAGTGGATGTAAGCCTCTAATTCAAAATGTTACCAGCTGCTGCGTCTACAGCCCAGCAGTCTGGAGAAGGGGAGGCTTAAATCCACAGATTGCCGAGTCCTGCTTGGGAGCCTCCAGGCTCTTCTGAGGCACTCGAGAGCAGGGATGCTGGAGGAAGCCCTGCTTCCACCCAGGCTGTCTGGGGGACTCGTCTTCACAGATCCCTCTCTGGGTCTTTGGTTTGGGTGGGCGAGGAGAACCTGTCATCCGTCAATCCAGTTAAAAGCACAGCCTCAGACAGAAAACAGTCCTTGGAATTGTTGCAAAGTGCCCTGCAGCCCAGGGGAGTCCTCTCTGGAACCACGCTCCTGTGGGGATCGCATTTTTTCCCCTCTTGCAAGACTCGCTTCTCCGCGGGTTTGGCTAGAAAAGGGCCAGCTCGAAACGTCCTGCCCTGCTGGAGGGAGAGGCCTGGAGCCTGGGTGGCTGGAAGGAAACCCGATAGCATGAGGAGAGGGGGTTCAGTTGTGGGAGGGGGGGACCCTGCTCTCTCGCCGCCTCCAGCCCTTCATCAGAAGTTTCTCTGTAAAAGGACAAAAAAGACGGTAAATGGAAGCAGATTTGTGTGCTGACACCTGCCAGCGCTGGGGCTGGAGACCCAGACTCCCAGGCATATGCTCGTGGGGCCTGGCTGTCCCGGGGCTCTCTGGGCAGCCAGCCTGGCGTAATGGAACTCATTAGCGCAGTTGTTAATGACTTGTATGATGGCAGCGGTGTCCAGAGGCTCCAGCTGAGTTTGCACAAAGCCGCCTATGAGGAATGGCACTCGCAGCGTGGGGCAGCTCCGAGGAGCCGCCGTGGTCAGCAAATGACTTCCAGGCAGAGCTCTGGAGAGGCTGGCGGCAGCCCCGGATGGCTCTGCGAGCCCTTGCAGCGCTGCACAAAGGGCCAGCAGCTCCTCGGGGACTCCTCAGCCACTGTCACTGCCCTGACGCTCCTCGAAGGAGCTGGGGGAAGAGGGAAGCTGCCCCTCCACGGCTGCAGCCCCCTCTCGCAGCAGCTGGGGGACACGCAGGGAAACCCGAGCGTTTCTTTTGGCAGGCAGGCACGCGCTGTTGCTTCCCTCTGCGTGTTTCCATGAGGGGTCGCTGGCACAGCGCTGCCTTGGACCTGGTGCTTGCTGGTGCTCCAGCTTGGGCTTGTGTGCAAGCCTCCACCTTGGCGTGATGCTGAATTTGGGTTCGCATCCTGGGTCTGCCCCCGAGCACTGCTCGTGGCACAGCGTGGGGCAGGGCCGCAGGAGGAGCGCTTTGCTCTTCGTTCAGCTCATCTCCCTCTCTGCTATTTTCCTCTCCCCAGAGGTCGGAGCGGGGGAATGATCCTCGATCCTCTCCGGTCTGGGTTCCGGCAGCCGGGCATTGACCCGTCGACAGGTCTGCCCAGCCGCCTTCCCCCAGGAGCAGTCCCACCAGGAGCCAGATTCGACCCCTTTGGCCCCGTGGGGGCTGGCAGGGGCAGGTAGGTGCTCGCTGACACCTGGGCAGCCGCTGCAGTTCCTCATCATGCTCTCTGCAGTTTGCCCTTAGCTCTCCTCCTCCTCCCAGGGTTGTGCTCTCGCTCCTGCTCTGACTCTGCTCCCAATTCCTTTCCAGGCCAGATCCTGACCACCTCCCCCCTCCGGGCTACGACGACATGTTCATGTGAGGACTCACCGAGTGGTTTCTCAGCTGGCTGCAGCCCGAGCAGTCTCCCGGGGAGCAGGAGCACTTTCCCCTCTTCGCTTCCCTCTTTGTTGGACTTTGATGTTTTCAGCAGCGTTTTTCCTCTCCTCACTCGGGGCCACGTTCCTGGGCTTCAGACCGGCCATAAAGGTTTCCATATGTTCAGAACAGAAGAGGGGGCAGTAGGTTTATTTCTTTCTCTGCTCCTCCGAGGGTACCCAGCAGTGGGCATGCAGCAAACGTGGGCCTGCCCCATGCGAGGGCAGCGTGGGGAGCAGTGGGGCGTGCTGAGAGCAACCCTGGGCTGCCAGGTTCCCTCTGTTTCTTTGGGGTGGCATCGCTTTCGCTGCTGGGGTTAAACGTGCAGGTGGTGCTGGGGAGGGAGCAGGTTCCCCATGCAGAGGTGTTTTTTTCTCATGCTTTTTATCCGAGCAAAGAGCTGATCATTATGAAGAGCTGAAGCCTGTCCCAGGGGGTCTCTGTGTCATCAGCTTTGCATGGCCGTGCCCGCTGGATGTGAAGGCCACCAACACCAAGCTGTTAATGTGCATGAGAAGAGAGAGAGATGGGATTTCTGGCCCTACAGCCACGCTGTCCTTCAGTCCCGGGGCTGCACATCAAACCTGCAGGCAGGCAGCACGGAGGGTGCCCGTTTGGCACCGTGGCAAGGAGGAGATTTGGTGCTGGCGTGGCCACCGGGACCAGTGTTGGCTGTTTGGGCCTGGCAGAGCTGAAGGATTTGGGATTTGCTCTGCTGCAGGGCTGTACAGGAACACCATTCCCTGCTGTCAGTCCCGTGGCGTGAGGCTGGTGAGGTTCTGCTTGGAGGGACTCTGCTGCCCCTCACCAGACAGCGCAGGGAGGTCTGCACAGCTCGGGATCCGCAGCTCTTTCTGGAGCCCACCCCGTGTCGGGTAGTTTGGGGGCTGCAGTTTACTGGGTTCATGCTTTGTTCTCGTGGTTTGGTTTCTTGGAAGGATGTTGGAGTTTGAAATAAAAACCTGACGACAGTGTTGTGTTAGCACTTGCTGAGGGGTCACCCCCCTGCCCCAGCTGGCCTCCCCCTTTTTCCCCCCATGAGAAGAGGAGCCCCAAAGGTGCCCCCGGGAGCTCTGCCCCGGCTGTGCCTGCTCTCCCTGGGATGCTGGGTTCACGCTGGGAGCCCGCTTTGTTCCTTCCCCTGAGCAGCAGCATTTTTCCGAGACGAGTAGACTGTATTTAGTAAATTAAGTGGAGAATGGCCCAGCCCTCGTTCCGGCTGCTCTCCTGGTGGTAATTGGCTCTCCGGGGTATTGAACGCCGTTGTTGCGCTGCGTGCAGCTGCAGAGGCATAAATAAAAACGGGGGAGTGCTCCCCTCTGTCTCTCCCTTTTCCCCAAAGGCTTTTCCTTTTAAACTGCCTTTGCCTCCAAACACAGCTGATAACAGCTCAGTTGCAGCGTTTTCGACCCGGGGCTGCGTGCAGGTGGGAGCGGGGAGGGACCGGCTGCAGAAATTTGGCACTGGGGGAACTGGAGCATCCCCTGCATCTCCCCAGGGCTCACATCAGCAGGAGCTGCTATGTCCCTGCTGTGTCCCTGCTGCTCTCCCAGCTCCTGGGGCAGCCTGAGCCTGCCCACAGCTTCCCCCCCCCAGGAGAAGGAGCCCCAAACTTGTTTTGGGGGGGCTGAGATGCTCGGTGCTGCGGCTGTGGCCTTATCAGAGGGGCTCCCCTCTGCGGGAGGCGGCTGCTTTCCGCCGCCTGCATTAATCATGCGCTGCAACCTTTCAGGAGGGAGAGACACAGCCTGCTTTGATGGGGGCTAATTAAAACGAGCCAGCTCCGGGGAGAGGCTGCGTCGGGTCCTGATAAACAATCTTTTGTCTGCAGCGCTTAACCCCAGCGGGTTCGTGGGGCCGTGCAGCTGAGGGGGAGCAGGTGGGAGAGGAGAGGCTTTGAGGAGAGGGCGAGCGCCCTGCGTTGAGCCGGGGTGGGTGCAGGCTCGTGCCTCAGCCTTGGGGTTTTGGGGGGCTCTGATACCCATGCTCCACAGAGGAGAGGTGGAGGGAGATGTGTGTGCTCTGCAGGACAAAGAAATGGGACAGGAGAACAACTGCAGCCCGCTCAGCTCAGCTCCCACCATACAGCAGAGGTGGCTAACGCGCCTTGGGTGAATTTTAGAGGGCTGCAAAGAGCATCAGGGGCTGGAGTGTGCGATGCTGGCACGGCCCCAGCCCTCCCTCCTCGCCTGGGCGCCGAGGAGGTGCTTCCACGTCAGGTTTGAAGAAAGAGGCTGGGTTATTGGCGATGGCTTGCCATCCCTGGAGAGCCCTTCAGGCCATCTGCCGTCCCGCCCAGCCCGCGGCACCTGCGCTGCACGCTCCCCAACGCAGAGCCCTCGGCGCTGCTAATTTACCCTGCAGCCATGCTCTGTCCCTGGCATCCTGCGTGCCCCGAGGATGGTGTGAGGGAGGAGGAACCAGGGGATGTTACACAGACGGGAAAACAAAGCAGCTCCCGCTACAGCAGCTCATTGCTACCAGCCTCCCGCCGCGCGCAATGGGGTCCCCACCACCGCCCCGGTGCCAAATCACTCTCCAGTCCTAGAGATCTCGCTGGGGGAGGCTCTTTAATGGCATTCCTTCCTCGACACACTTTGTTCACCTTAAATATTTTATGTTTCAATCACGAGGGTTTTCCTCCAGCCCTCCAGGCCCAGTTAAGGGACAGCACAGCACGGCGCTGCGCAGCAGTGGCAGCCTCCTTCCAGTCCAGCCTTTTGGGTAGCCCCCCCGGAATAGCGAGGAGGATTTCTGTGCTCACACAACGCGAAGGTGTCCAGCAGAACCTCCACCAGGTTCAGCCTCTCATCCCGTGAAGACCCCTCACTCCTTATTCAAAGTGACCAAGCCTCCCCCGGGGGCCTCCTCGCAGCCCCCAACCCTGGGGCACCCACGGGAACCTCCCTGCCCTGGTGCTGGGACCAGCCCTCGGTGACACCCTCGGTGGCATCTGCCCCCTGACCCTTTTTGTGCACCCAGACCCCGCAGGTTTTCTCCCCCCGTGGCACACGGGGATGTGATGTGAGGTTGTGCCTGGCTCAGGGCAGCCGAGTTCTGCCCCAGCCTCTGCTGGAGCCCAGGGAAAGGGGCCCGGGCACTTGTGTGACATGAAGTGCCTACACAAAGCCATTCAGGGCTAATTCCCGAGACCCTACAATAAATACAGAGCACGGGCAGGTGACACGGTGACATGGAGAGGGACACAGCAACAGGAGGAAGCGGCTGTGAGGGCTGGAGGACAAATGCTGGGCAGAGGATGAGAAGGGGGGCACGGGCTGTGGGCTGCCCCCAGCCATCGGGGGGATGCTCTGGAAGCCCCCAACCACAATCAGACCCTGGCAATGGCACCACATGTAAAAATGACTTTCCTCTTGTGTCGGGCTGTCTGGAGGGATTTGTCTCCACGTGGAAACATTTGAAGCAAGTGATTTACGGGCTGGATTAAAAACCGGCGGCAGTTCATGACAAATACCACCTTTTGTGGGGCTGCATTTTCCTATGGGATAATTCTGTCCCTTTCTCAGCACCCCGCTCGTACCGATTTCTCTTCCCACAGGACGCCGTGCTTTAATGAGGCTTCACGTTTAATTCCCGAGATGCAATTTTTGCCTTCACGCTGCAGACAATGGCTCCGGCGAGCAGCACAAAGGCTCGGGCACCCGGTGGGGCACAGCTGCTTCTGGAAACCAGGAGAAGAAGCACCACGTTGCTCCGAGGCGCCGTGCGTTATCCTCTCTCCCCCAGACAGAGCACCATGGGTTTTGGGGCCGTTGTGGGGTTGCTGGTGGGAGCGGGGTCCCAGCCTTCGCCCCGCTCTCCGCAGTGGGGCTGGGGGGGTGCAGAGGCAGGGGGCTGGTGGGGGCTGGCTGGTGCCACGCGGATATCGGTCACGCTGGCTGTCCCCAGAGCGGTGTGAGTGCCACCTCCACGCCACAGTTTTAGAAGAAACTATTGCTAAAAAAGGTCGCTGCTGGCAGAGGATTCGGCGCTACGGCCCAGCGAGGAGCAGCCCTGGCTGTCGGGAAGGAGCCGGCTGCTGCTGCCACGGGGAGCTCGGCCTCGTGTCCATGCCCGACCGTGGCGTGGGTGTCCCACGGGTGTCTTTGTGGTGCCATCGTCCCGGTGCTGGTGGCAGGGGCCGTGTAGGCGAGCGGCGTGTCCCCAAGCCGTGTCACCCCGCTGCTGCCGGCCGGGACCCCCACCCCAGAAGGGGTCGAGGTGGCCAGGAGGGTGCCCGAAGCCTCACCGGGCTGTGACAGCACGGGGACCGGGGCGCTGCGGGGGGAGCCCCGCTTCTGCCGGCGGCTCGGGGGGCCCCGGGGAGGCGCGGGGCTACGAGCCCGGCCCCTCGGGGGGCTGGGGCGGGGGGCTGAGCTGGCTCTCCAGCAGTGCCTGAGCCCCCTCGGCCGACACCCTGCGCATCCTCAGGCGCACCGAGCCGTAGGTGCCCCCGGCGCGGCGAGCGGCTCGGGCTCGGCGGCGAGCGGCGGCGGCGGCCAGCAGGAGGGCGGCGAGCAGGAGCCCTCCCAGGGCCAGCAACGCCAAGCCGGCCACGGTGCAGCGATCGAGGCGTGCTCGGAGCCGAGCCGCCCGTGCCTCCAGCCTCTCCATCTGCCTCGCCGGTACGGCCGGGTCGGGGCGCGCCGCCCGCGGCACGGCCCCCGCCAGCACCACCAGAGCCGCGCCGCTCAGCGCACAGCCCAAAGCCAGAGCCAGCCCCGGGCCCGGGGCCGGGCCGAACCCCCCCGGACCCCCCCCGCCGCCTCCGTTCCCCGCTGTCGCCGCCGTCTCGACCGGGCTCCGCAGCTCCGCCGCCCGCGGGGCCGCCATGGAGCCGCCGCCCTGCGCGGAGAGAGGTGAGCGGCGCGCACGGAGCGGGTGGCGATGTCTCCGTCCCCGTTCCCTACCCCAAATCCTCCCTCCCCGAGCAGGCTGAGTGTCCCCGTCCCCCCCCCAACCCCGAGCTGCTCCCTCCCTCCGAGCCCCGCTCACCCGCACCGGGCTCTGCCCCCTCCCCTGCCCCGTCCCCGCACCCGGGACCGCTCCCCCCGGTGGGACCCGGGTCCCCCAAACCGCGTTGCGCCTCCCCCCAGGGAGCCGTGTCCCTGTGCCCCCCACCCCACGTTGCTTTCCCCGAATCGGGCTGTGCCCCCCCCCCCTTTCCCCACCCCGGACCTGCTTTCCCCGCTCCGATCTGTCCCCTCCGGTTCCCCGCTTCTCCGAGCCGTGCCGAGCCGTGCCAAGCCGCCTCCCCCCGCTCCCCGCACCGCGCTGGAGCCCCCGGTCCCCGCACCCAGCCCCGTTCCCTCTCCCTCACCCCCCGCTGCCTCCCCGGTCCCTCCTCGGTTTGTCCCCCCCTCCCCAACCTTTTCCCGGCCGCCTACCCCCGCCGGCTGCCCGGTACCGGTGCCGGTGGCTCGGGATAGAGGGCGGCGGTGCCCCGAGCTGCCGGCCCCGCGGGGCTCCCGGCGCTGCACGCACACACACACACACGCTCGCACACGTAGAGCCGCTGCCCCGGGGGGCTCACGGGCACACGCACACACACACGGTGCACACCAGCCCCGTTGTGCACCGGCACCGTCTCGGCAACGCTTCCCCACCCGCAGCGGGGACCCCTCCGTGCGCACCCTGGACGCACCGGGACACCCCCCCCTCGTGGGCACCCCAGGGTGGGCTGCGTGGGGAGGGGTGGGGATGGAAAGGGCAAAGCGGTGGAGAGGGGTCTGTGCCGTGAAGGGTGCGGGATGTGTCCCAGGGATGTGTCCCATGGGGTGCTTGGCTGTGCGCCCCACAACCGTCTGGCCCTGCATGGGGACACGGGGCAGAGGTGGGCTGGGGATGGGGGCTGCAGCAGGGAGGGCTCCAGCCCAGCCACCTGCTGAGAGCCCCTTCTAGGGCCAAACCTGACCCCAAATCCCCAGGGAAGCATTCAGGGCTTGGCCCAGGCTTTGAGCCAGGTGTGGGGTGCTCCAGCTTCGGATGGTGCCAGCCAGGAGAGGTGGCTGCAGTCCTGCAGCCCCCAGCTCCCCGCCACCCCAGTCTCTCGCCGCAGTTATCCCATTTTTCCCAGAGCACTCGTGTTGCCGAACACGCTCCGCTTCTCTTTGACCTGAAACTGGATCCGTGCCCGAGCCCCAGCAGTGACCTGCTGGCAGGAGCACGCTTTCAGCCCGTTTGTTAATAAGACATGTGCTATTTCTGCTTCTGGAGCCGTGCCTGGAGATGGTGGTGCGGACGTAAATCCCGAGTGATAGCGGGTGGGCTGCTGAGAGCTGCCGGGAAGATTTGTCCATCACGTTGCCATCCCCTTCAGCACATTCACATGCCTTCAGCGTCTTCAGCAGCTCGTGTGCGATCGCAGCCAGTTGATGTGTGGATGCCACTGCCAGCACCGGGTGAGCTCAGTGTGGCTGGCAGCCCCCACCCCAAGCCCCCCGTGTCCCATCCCCTCATACAAGTCCTGTGGCCACACTCGGCTCCACCCGTTTCATGAAACCGGTAGGCACTCTCTCTGGTCTGTGAAATTCACTTAAAACTGATCAAAAAGGTCCAAAGAGCTTAAGAGGATGAGCTTAGCCCAGCACATCGACTGCACACACCCACGTGCTGGCTCTGGCAAGAGGAGGCTTGGCTCCTGCCCTCGCTGCTCGCCAGGTTAATGACAGGTGACGACGTTATCCTTCCTTGAGCATCATCTGCATTAAACTCTAAAGTTTGTGTTAAAAATTGCCCCCTGGATAATTTTTACCTCTTTTCTTGCTTTTTTTTCCCCTCCCTTTATTTTCCTCCAAGGTGCCCTGCAAGGTTTTCTGCCTGCTTTAATTATTTGTGTAGTTCCACAACATGGCTTTACAGCTCCCCCCAGCTCCCTGCCCATTAGTGTTGCTGTTGCAGACCTGCACCACCCAAAAAGGGACCGAATCCGGCGCTCCAATACCTCCGACAGAGGAAAAAAGGGGGTCTGCTCACTCCCTTTTTCTGTGTCAGGGACATGGATACGCACAATTTTATTAATTTTTGTTTGCAGTGAGCGTTGTGTGGCTGCGACCCACCCGCTCGCTCCTCCTGTCTCCTCTCCCAGTGTCGAAAGGCACAGGCTTCCCAGCACAGCGTCCCCGGGGACGCATCCAGAACTGGGCTGAGAAAGAGGCAGAATTAAAAATAAATGTAAGTGCATCCTGACATGTTAACCACATTTAGAGCGGCTTCAGTGCCAACCCACTCGGCGGGAAGGCAGAAGATGCTCAGAGACAAGTAGGTCACGGGACACGGATTGTCCCGAATCAGCAGGAAAAGATGGATCTGGAGCAGGCGGGCACATTGTGCCACCAGACGGGCAGACGGCAGTGAGGACGGGAGGAGAGAGCGTCAGCACCGAGCTCTGCCACCTCGAACATTGCTGAATTTGGGAGAAAAAGCAGTGCCACCGGTGTGCTCCTGAGCAGAGCAATGCACGCCGTCATCCCCTGCATTTTGGGGTCCCCAAGCCCTGTGGTGCTGAAGCACCCGAATGTGCCCAGTCTGTACATGGACAGGGATGAGCCCACAAGTGCTGGAGCAGTGGTTTAGGACTGGGGTCTGCGCCCACTCTGCCATGGGGTCAATGTTTTAGGGCGCTGCTCCTGCACCCCAAACCCACAGCTATGCTCTCAAGGACACCGCTAATGGGTGAGGTAGAGCGATGTTCCTTGCACATTGCTGCTTCTGCTGAGCTGCTCCTGGATCTGCTGCATTTACTGGGTGGGTGCTGGACCTTTTCAGGGCTGGTGGGTTTTCAGGGCTGGTGGGAGCCCCAAACACTGCCCCGAGCCCACCCGGGGCTGGCAGGGCCACAGCATCCCCAGGGCGCTGGCACCAGGAAGGGGAGGAGAGAGGGAGACAGCCAAGATTGATGCTGCCAAGCGCAGGAGCACAGAGAGGAGGGAGACAGCCAAGGTCAGAGGCAGCACTGCCAAAACGCAGAGTGAATCTGCGAGAGAGCTGGAAATAAATAGAAAGAGGAGGGAGGGGAGGAGGCAGCCTGGGAGACGGAGCAGGGCGAGGGGGTGGGATGGGGCTGTGGAGACAGGGACAGGCCGCTGGGACAAAATGATTAAATCGGGATGAAGGGGACAGCAAGCTGGAGCCCCGGGAGGGCAGAGGACAAGAGGGAAAGGGACAAGAGGACAAGGATGGGGAGAGCCAGGAGGGCTGTGGATGCAGGTGTCCCCCTTTGGTCCCCTCCAGAACATCCCCTTGCAGCACAGCCCGGGTGATACTGGTCCTGCAGAGGCTCCTGACACCCACGGGCCCCGATCCAGCCCTGTAGAGGAGAATTTTTGTCCCTGCCTCTTGCTGCTTGCAGCATCCCTCGGTGGAACAGGGCTCAAGGTGACGCAGAGGACAGGGGCAGCAGCTGGGCAATTCGGGCACCAGCCGCTGGCTGCCACGCAGGTGGGGACACCCAGTGATTTAGGGGGACTGATTTATGGCCAGGGCTGGCTTCAGACCCAGGATTTTAAATCAATTTTGGCACTGGGAAGGCTGGAGCTGACACAGCCTGGATCCAGCACTGGCTGCAGGATGGGCAGCGCTGGGCGCCTGGGTAGGATTAATGGGTGTCACTGGTGTCCCCCATGTCCCCAGGGGGATGCCTGCCTCCAGGAGGGTTTTATGACAGAAAACCCTCTCCTGCCCTTCCTCCCAGCCCCTGATCCAGGCTGGGAAGGGGCTGCAAACACCCTGTGGTGACAACCGAGGTCTGATTTTTGTCAGCAAACAGCGAGGTGACGGGGGAGCCGCGGGCGCCTCACGATACAGCTGCGGCTGCCACGCTGGACTCAGGGCTCACGGGGCTGCCCCCGGCTGCAGAGCAAAGCCCCCCGGGACCCGGGGCAGGGGGTTTGAGGCTCGTTTGTGTCCCCCCTCAGCACCATCCCCGTTGTGCCGGGACCGGGCCGGGCTGTGGCCGCCGCCCGCCGCCCTCCCCTTTTGGCGGGAGCCGCCCTCAGGCCTCAGCCCCGGGTCCGCGGCCGCCCTCAGCGCCCTGCCGGGCACCGCCATCCCCTCGGGATCCCACTGAGGTCCCCCCGCTGTCCCCTCAGCGTCTCGCTGGGCACTGCCACCCCCTGGGGACCCTGCCGAGTCGTCTCCATCCCCTCAGTGCCCGGCTGGGTACCGCGGTCCCCTCAGGAATCCCCCTTCTCCTCAGCTCTCCTCAGCGTCCATCACCTCAGGACCAGGTTGGGTTCCTCCATCCCCTCAGCGCCACGCTAAGTCCCCACAGTCCCTGGCAGCCATTTGAAGCCCCCTCAGCACCCTACAGCCCCCCATGTCCCCAGCACCAGGCTAGGGACCCCCATCCCTGTCCCCATCCCCTCAGAGCCCCGCTAAGTCCCCTCATCCCCTCCACTCCCCAGGGCTTTCCCCATTCCACCTCCCGCCCTTCATTGCAGCCCCATCCCTCCCCAAACCCCGTCCTTTGTGCCCCCCAACAAGCCCCTCGCAGTCTGTTTGTCCCCCGTGACATCTCTCCTTGTGCCTGCAGGTGTGCTGCTCCTCTGCTGCTGTTTGCTCTGCCAGCTCCGACCCACAGCTCCAGCTCTCCTCGAGGCCCTGACGGACATTTTCCCTTGGAGCTTCACACCCTCTGCTCACCTGCTCTCCCCTCGTGCCCCAGGACCTTCCTCTGCTTCACCTGCAAGACAAGGGAAAAAAAGAAAAGCCCAGGAAAAGTGGCAGCAGAGGTGACCTGCGAGCCTCAGCCCCGACACCATGTTCTACATGCATTTGCTCGTGAACAAGCGTGGGCCGTTGGCCAAAATATGGCTTGCCGCCCACTGGGAGAAGAAGCTGACCAAAGCTCATATATTCGAGTGTAATTTAGAGACTACCGTTGAAAACATCATCTCACCAAAGGTAGGTTATTAAAGTGCCTTCTGGTAAGTTCTGGGGTAGAGCTGTAAATCTTCTGTAGGGAAGAGGACTTGCTGTTGTGAAGACTTAGTAAGACAAATTTGTGGCTGTTTCAAAACCAGTGTGAGAGATTCCTACTGTGATTTTATTCAGTTTTCACTCAGATAAAATCTCTGTTCCATTAAATTAAATTGATATAAATATTTTACTTGCTATTTAGCCCTTGGAGATCTGTGGAATATATTTAACTACAGTATAAGAAAAATTTTACCACAACATATTTAAACGTATTTTTTCTACATACTGATGGAGCTCCGGAGTGTGCTCTGTGGGCACAGCTGGCCACGGGATTGTGGTAAGTGGGTTTGAGCTACTGCATGAAACGAGACGAGCTTGTCAATATCATGTAGTAGCACTGGTCTTTCTTCAGAGACTGAGTACTAGCTGCGGCTATGCGACATAGTTTGGGAACTGCCAAGTATTTGAGGAAATTTTCTCAAAGACAACAACAAAAAAAGCCAGCTGCTTAACCAAAGTAAAGGGACTGAGAAAAATACCACAAAATTGTACACAAACCATTCAAGAAGAATGTGTTTTTCTGATCTTATGATAAATAACCTTTGACATATCACAACCATCCTTGAACTGTCAGTGGAATTCTTCCAGGCCCACCATTAGAGGCAGATAAATATATAATTAAGCGTAATTGGTGCTTATGACAGATTCTGTATTAATCCTCTGCGTACCACAGATAAGGTATGATTCAAACAAGCACAGATGCAAGCAGTCGAGTATCCATGACTCAGTCCTTGGCCTCTCTGTTGCAATTGCATCCAAGAGAACAGTAAGGAACATTTTGCACTGTCACTAATCGATGCCTAAGGAGATCCAAGGCATTCTGCTGGTGCAAGCAGGATTTTTATTTTTTTTCCCTGTGAAAATACCTGCTTGGCAATTGGTAGTCTGATTTTCATTGTCTGCCTTGCACGGGTTATGATTAATTGAACTTTGTCAAAACGATTTCAGTATTATTATTTGGAAGTGTTTTCAAATAGTTTGTAGTCTTCTCTTTGCGTGCTTCTGTCTAGCATTGGAATGGCCAAAGGGAGAGTTCTTGGTGCAGGAAGACTGCAGAAATAAGAGCATAGTTGGTACAATGTCCTCTCACTTGAATAAACAAAGTGGCAAATATTAGAATAAGTGCAGCTACTTTCCTTTTCAAGATGTGTTACACTGTTCACTGGTAGCCAGCTGAGACCTTGTCCATGAAACAAGAGCATTGATTGAGGGCTTAGGCTTCAGCACGGCAATGCTTCGGGACAGAAGCAACTAGAAGTTCCTAGCTCTGGAAATTTGTTTGTCTGTGATCCTCTATAACAGTACAAAGTCTTGTTGAATTTCTTAGAGTTCTCTATCAGTGTATTTTACTATAATTCTGTTACTGCTGTGTAATATTTTTTATTTTTATTTTTTGGCCAAAAATATTAACTCCTGAACAACTTTTTTGTTGTAAATGTCAAAGTTTACAATAGCTCTGCGCACCTCTGGACACTTACTCTTAGGAGTGGTGCGGATTTACCACAGGAAAGCAAAGTACCTCTTGGCAGACTGTACTGAAGCTTTGACAAAAATGAAGACAGCTTTTCGCCCAGGTAGGTACAGAATTCTGCATTTTTTTCCATCTGTGTCCTTTTCTGCTCTTATCTTAAAACTTAATTTTGGAAGCTTCTGTTAAATACAGCTTATTGATCCCAAAGGACATTGAATTTATTGGTGCCTACTGCCAAGGCTTAGTCTGGTTTATTTCAATGCAATTTCAGGTCTTTGACACCTTTAAAAGAAGCAGTATCTTAAACGGTCATACAAGAAGAAGCTTGGATTCAGCCCCCATTGCTAGATAATTAATTTTCCTGTCTAATGACACCAACAACATGTCTAACAATGTGTTAGTGCCAGATCTGACTGTGATTTGAGCTCTAGCCACAAAGCCAGCAAGAAATGAACCGAGATGACTGAATCCTTTTCAAAAAGGCTGCATGTTTGTTGTTTTAAGGCACAAATGGGGAGGCACTGTTGTCTAAAAAAAGATTGCAAACAGGACACTGGCCTCTATTGCCAGCCTTAATGTGCTTTGTGACCTAGCCTGTGTGCAGAATAGCAAATAACTACTCTACATGATTTTCAAGGATATGATGGAGATTAGTTAGGTAATGTTTGTAAACATTTGGAAAATGCTAGAAGAAACACTTGCAATAAATACATAGTATTGTTTTCAACAGTTACTATAGGAGCTGGTAGAGGACCACATAGCACAAGAACAAAAAACAATGGTCACAACTGCAGCAAGGCAAACTCCACCTAGATGTAATTGGGAAAAAGATCATACTTGAAATGGTAAAATGCTGAAACATGTTGTCCAGGGATGCAGTGGAAACTCCAGCATCAGAAATAGTCAAAAGTGACCTAGCTTAGAAATTAATTTTGTTTTGAGCCAAAGGTTGGATTAGGCGACCTTCAGAAATCCCTTCTAACCTGAATTGTTCCAGGATTTTCTGACTACTACGTATTTGCAGCCTGATTTTGTAATTATTTGATGCTGGTGAATAGTGTAATATAGACACAGGATAGAAAAATAAAACACTAATTCGTTTTAAATGGTATGAAAGACTCTAGACTGAATGTCAGCTGAGAATCTTTCAGTGACATTAATTAACTGTTCATAAACCCAGTGTATTTACAGCATTTCAGCACCTGTAGCAGTTTCCAACAGCAGCATACTCTTCTCTATCTGTCTATAAAAAATGTGGCTTCTAATAGATATGAAAATTGAGAATTTTAATTTCACTTTTGGGTCCTGTTAACAAACTGCCTAAACTTTACCTTTTTGTTCTTTATAAAGGCAGCATACCTTCCTGACGGCTTTATAGTCTTACTATATCTACTTGGGAGAATGTTACTTTTATTTTATTGATACTTACTGTGTTTTGTTTTGTTTCTTTTAGGACTTGTTGACCTTCCAGAAGAGAGCTTTGAAGCTGCTTATCAGTCCATTACATTACCTGAAGAATTTCATGATTTTGATACTCCACTACCTGATTTAAAGTAAGCTCTTCCCTACCTTTTATTCATTATTTTAGTATTTTAAGAAACAAAATATATCCTTACAGTTATCTGATCAAGACTTGTGCAGAATTGTTTTGATTTGGTAACTGATTTCTTCAAAACCCTGAGCCAAACTTTACAAGGCTACAGTCACAATAATTGTGTTTTTGTAGAGTTCCTCCAAGTCCATTTAATCAACAGACCCTTTACAATAAAATAATATTTTGAACTTATCCATCAAGATTTTCTCATTTAAAATTGTCTGAGTGAGCCCTGCAAACAACTTACTGACCTTGGGAGGAGATACAAAAGTTAGTATAAATACAGGCCCTAGTATTAATACTAGTTTAAATAGTGGCTTTCTGTTCATTCTAAATTTGTACAATGGTTTATGTTTGTTTGTTTTTTCCATCAGTGCCATTGATGTTGCAGAACATTTTACCTTGAATCGGAGCAGAGCTGAAGACATCACGCTTACAGAGGATTACGAAAGCAACATACTTCTCTGGGACAGAAACTTTGGTGAGAGAAGTTGAGAAATCAGAAATATTCTGTAAGGGAAAGTATGTTTTTTGCAAAATATTGTACAGTCTGAATAATTTCCCCATATGAAAAAGCTATTATTAAAAGAGTGCTTGTTTATGTTTGTGCTGATTGGCCTATCATATGGTCTCTAATTTTTGTGTAAGTAATATAGTATGATACTAGAGACTGAGAATCACACTCAACATTTGGTGGTTTTTACTGAGTTAGCTAAAGTTGACTTTTTTTTTAATTTAATTTGAGTTATGGGAAATCTTACAATCTTTTGAAAATTATTCGAAAAAATAGGAAATGGATAAATATGTTTCACATAAATTTATGCAGATGAAACATCAGAAATTCTGTATTTATTCAGATGAGGAACCAGAAACACTAAGAAAACAGAGCTCCTTTGATGGCAGCTTCTTAATGAGCAGCAACAATCTCATGGCTGATCATACCTCTGCGAGCATAAATGGAGACAAGTCTGCACTGCATGAAGATGTTTACTGTTTTGAGCAGGATTGTTTTGGAGATGAGGAGGCTGGTGCAGATATGATTGGTAGGCTTTGCCACAGATTAACAGAATTTTTGCTATTTATCACTACATGATCATTTAGACATTGCCAAGTAAAAATAAATTAGAGAAGGTAGTATTTTGTTTTATTTTTTATTTTTTTTAGAACTAAAAGCATTTGATTTATATTTAATTTTTAGTAATTTAGTTTATATTTTAAAGGGGGAAATGCTGCATCATTTTTTATCCTGGTTGTTGTAATAACAAAGGCAATGAAGTAGCTTCTACATGTTTATCGTTTAGGGTATTTATGTAAACTGTTATAAACTTATACCTTTTAAACAGTTTCAATACCATACTTTTCAAAGAAAAGATGGAAATCTCAAAATTAAGACTAATCATAGAATCAGTAAGGTTGGAAAAGACATCCAGGGTTATCTAGTCCAACTGTCCTCCTACCACCACCATTACCCATTAACCATGTCCCTAAATGTTCTCCTTTTCTTACTGTTGAAACTACTTCATGACTACTAAGACTTGGCATGATTTAAAACTATGTATTTTATATTTAAGAAATCCTGCTGAGGGATGAGCAAAATGGCCTAATTAATGACATTCTTGATATGGAGGAGGAACTTCCTTCACCACAAGATCTTCCAGAGAATACCACAGCCTGTGAGTTTGCAGTCTCTTCTCCTTGCTCACGTGAACTCTCTGTTCCTGCATTAAAGTTACTCGCATTCAGCTTTGTATGAATGGAATAACATCCCAAGTCTTTTGCCTTTGTTAATTTCTCTTCCTTTTTTCCTCATATATTTTTTTCACCATTTTAGGTATAATTTAATTTGGCCTAGAAATTCTAGATTTGTACCACAACATTGCTTAGAAACACTTTTATATGATATCCTGTGTTGGATATGCTTCAGATCCACTCCGCTGCTTAGGCAGTACGATATCACTTTGTAGAGGAGAGGAGACAGGATAAGGGTTTGTTGAATTTTGAACATTACCTACCAGCTTTTCTAACTTCATATTTCAGCTACAAATTACTTTTTAGTAGTTCATGCAGGTGCTCTTAGTCTTATTTTTATTGGACATTGGTGAATGATGCTGATGAAATATAAATTAATTTTTGAAAAGTGCTTCTGGAAAAAAATCTTTTTTTTAATTTAATTTTTATTTTATTTTATTTTTTAACTTTAAATCTTCAATCCTTATACCACCATTGCACAGTGACTTTAAAACTGAGTAATCTGGAACACCTTTAATGAGAAACAGTTTAGTTCTTCAGTCTGTTTCACTACCTGATTATACAGCTTCTTGTGTCAGCAAAAGGAAGTGCAGTGCAGGACATAAACAGCAGCAGTGTCAGACAGTACTCCTTAAAGTGATTGTGAGATTATGGACTCAACCATAGTTTTCTAATTCCAATCTTTTTTGTCTGGTATCAGCCTTATATGTCATGAGATTGAGAAATTATTCCATCTTTTTTTAATCAGGCTTTTTCTGGTTTTTCTTGTAGTTGAATCCAACTGCGAAGACACTGCGATTCAGACAGAAAGCCATCTAATGAACGAAACAATACTTTTGTCTAAAGAAGATGAAGGATTTGTGCTTGCACCAGTTGATTATACAGGTCAGAACTTGACTGTTTTTTTGCTGACAGACTGTTTTTTTGCACTGCTAGGTTTGTTTTTCTTCTTGTTACTGTAAATATTTGAAAAACAGATTATTCTCACTTTCATCTGCTGTCACAGTTCTATCTTATGGTATTTATTATACAAAAACAGTACCAGGTTGATCAGGATCATCTGATCTGCCCGTATCTCTGCTTACAGTTCCTTCCACATACCAAATCAAGTGTTACTGCTCCGCAGTTCTGCTAGCAGTGCAAGCCCAGCCTATTCATGAGTGCTACTGAAATTTCAGAACTTCTATTGCCAGTGACATGCCAGTGATCCTTTGGGTGTAAAATAATGACCTTAAAAATTTCAGACCTTTGTAAATTTTTGTTTCATGATCTTTTAACTTTATTAAGATGTAAAAAGAAAAATGTTCCTTTTCTCCTGTGAGTACATCTAAGCCTCACCTATTGTGTTGGTGGATGTTAGCAAGTAAACAAGATTGTATTGATATAGTTTTTAGAATACTATACTGGAATTTTCCAGTAAAAGAAGATTTTTCAGGAAACTATGGATATGCAACCAATTAGTGTCTCTATTTTGTGTTTACAATGTGCATCTTAATTTTATTGCGAAAGTATAAAGCTGACAAATACAGATATTAATTATGAGATAATGAAACCTGTTGAGTACATCAGCAATTGTTGGAATAATTAACTTCCTGATGGATTAAAGATAGCTCACTTGGGCTTGTTGGGATCTCATGTGTTCTCATTAAGTCATTGTGTTCCTGATTCTTTAGTACAATATTCATGCCTTCTGTAATTAAACATATGGCAGTTTCCTGTACAAGAATACAAAGGGCAAACTTTATGGAAACTTTTGGAGAAATGTTCCATCCACCTGTAGTTTAATTTTAAAGCCTGTGCAGCTATTTGGGAGGTCAGCAACCTGTCGATTAGACTCACAGTGGGTATTTTCATGCTTAAGTTTTCTGTGGACTAGACCTTATTTATGTATATTCACTGTGTAACAGCTATCAATGAAAAACAGGGCTAGATCAGAAATGGGAGGCTGAAACACTCCTTCTGAGTTTTGAATATTGTAATTCCAAACAATAAATACATGGCTAAAGGGGAGAATTCTGTAAGTTTCTTCAGTAGTACCCTTTCCTGCTAGGTAGTCCCTTCAGTGCTGAAATACATTACAGACAGGTATGTCAGTGAACTAAGTCACAGGATCAGGGATATATTGAGGTCAATACCTTTTATTTATTTATTTATTTATTTTTATTTTTATTTTTTAATATATATGTATATTTTTAATAAATGCTTGCTCTACTTAGCTTTCAACCAGAGGAAAAAAAAAAAAAGAAAGAGGAAGTTGTTGGTGGATGCAGACAAGGAGCTCAGCTGCAGTGTTATATACAACCAACTTAACAACTACGTAGACATCCTTGCTACGTTAGACCTTGCACCCCCAACAAAAAAGACAATGGCATGGAAAGAATCAGGAGGAGCGGACACACTCCTGTCCAACCCTACACAGTCTGTGGTTCATGCTGAGCTACAAATGGTAAAGTTTTATTCCTTGTAGGTTTTTATTCCACTGTGTAGATTATGGGATTGTTGCACTTCTAAGATCTAACTGTGAGAGATTTTGCAGTCTTGGTTTCATGTGAACTCCAAGGAAACTGACAATCATCATTGTAAGTATCATTTTGCAGTACAGTTCGGTTGGATACCTAATGATTATTTGTGTCCTCATCATTAATTACTTCAGCAGAAAGTCTACCTGTAGAGCTCCTGGCTCCAGTCTTCAGTGCTCCAACATCAAGTAGAAAATGACAAAGAAACTTGAGAATTGATACTTCATTTCACATACCAGCACCTGACTGACTGTACACTAACATACCTTTTTAAATGATTTCTGACAATTTTGTTCCTTTTTAAATTGTTCTTATTTTATTTTTTGTTTCTGCTCTGTGATTGATATGGCATCATGTCTTTCTTCTGCACTTACTTTAAAGGTACATAAGGCTTAAACTTTAATATTTTATCTTTAATTACTTTAGGAAAATGGTATGACAATCTGTTTTGTACTTTCCCAAATGGAGATTAAGCTTCCAGCTGGACAGCAGTCAGGAGACCTTGCCTTTCAGAAGGCCGAGAGGTTTCTGATCACTATATCCCTTGGGCTAGACGGGTGGGCCAGAACACCCTTACCTGTGGCTGTAGACCTTACTGCTCTTGTTGTGCAAGAAAGATAGATTTGTTTCATGGAAATATGATCTATCAAGCCTTTCATGTCCCCACATATTATCTGACAGATCATTCAAATAAGTTATATTTAGGAATAATGATAAGACAAAGAAAAGAGATCAGCTTGTACACAAGGTGATACAGAAAGTTACGCTGTAAACCATGCGCAGCAGCCTCGTGTTAATCGCGCTGTGTTTCTTCTGCTGTATAGCTGAGAGCTCAGAGACAGGTTCTCCAGGCAAACAGTTCTGCAGGTTCGTTAGAGCAGAGCAGCTTCACCTCTTAGAGTCGAGATGCAGAATTACAACTTGCTCTTTACGAGGAGGAAAAATACTCTCACACCGGTACATGTGGAGAGCAATCAAAACTCAGATAAATGTGGATATTTCCTTCTTTCTTCCCTCCTTACTGTCTAGCATCAGGGAAAAAATGATCCTAGCTGTTCCTAAGATGATTTTGTGGATTTCACTGCCAAAGTTGAAGCTGCAAAAGGCTATTACTTTAAAAAAATGCAGATTTAAATTCTCTAAATTCTGGGTTGCAGTAATTAATATCAGTCCATATTCATACCTTTGTTTTGGTGCTTGCAAATAATAATCCAACTTTATAGCCTGAAAGTAAAAAACAAAAATAATTCTTTCCAGTTTTTTGCAACATGCTTTGAGAGTCGTGGATTTAAGATGGCAAGAAATGTAATGCAGGTGGAGTCTGAAATGGAAGAAACAAGAAAAGAACAAGATACCTCAGGTAACAGTTTAATTCTAGTGCTGCAACATTATCTATTGACAAATATTATCTAGTTTATATGTTTCAGACACATGCACGGTGTGCACACACACTTTGTGTGCAGTATTCTATGAATCGTAGGCCAAATAAGTTGAAATGTTAATGAAATCGGCTATGTTAATTATAAAAAGAGAAGGTTGTGTAAGTATTTTTTTTTGTTATTATTATTTTTAAGGACAGAGATTAACAGTTGTTTCCTCTTAAGCCTTTGGGATTTTTTGTTGTTGTTTTTGTTTTTTCATCTTCTTTATTTATTTATTTTTGTTAATACAGAAATGCTGATAATAGAAGAACCAAGTTCCCTGCAGCAGTCAGCTCATTCAGAGACTGAGAGAAAAATTAGAAATGATTCATTTGTAATGACATCACAGAGTAACAGAAATGAAACTGATAATAACTTTGGCGAAATTCTAGTGAGCAGTTTCCATAAATTTTACAGACCTAAATGTATTTATTTTTTTCATTTTATGTTAGGATTCCATTTAAAAGAAATTAAGAATTTATTAATATATGTTTGAAAAGCCTGTTACAGAGACAGCCAGTATAGCATTAATTAGCTTGTGTTGGGAAAGTTTTATTTATAAGCACTTTGGCAGACTCTCACAATGAATGAACTGTTAATTAAAATATATATTAATCTGTATAGGTTACACTGAGTATAATTGGAACTTTAATATAAAATATAACCTGTTTGTACTGAAAATATATTTTATCATTTCTAAAGATGATTATTCTTTTCTTGTCTCAAGTTGAGAAAGAAACAATAAGAAATGATCTATTTCTGCCATCTTTATTTAGGCTAAAGAGAAGGGGGAGTTTTTAGAGAATAGAAGACTCTCCAAGGTTGACAAGGACTGACAAAACTGGCCCCAATGTCAACAGAAAATTTAAGGCCTGTGCCTGAACAGAGTCCATATTTGTAGGATAAATACTGTAGCAAAGACCTTTCCTATTTGAGAAAAGATGTGGTAGAAATCATTTTGGAAAACATTTATTATATATATATATATTTAAGCAGAATTATGTAATAGAGAATGATACTGTATGCAAAAATTGTAATGCCAATTGATCTTTCTGTTCTAACAGCAGGATGCAACGGCTTTATCTGAGAGCTCCTCATTTGTGAATAATTCACTGGGCCAGGAAGCTCCGACACAGCAAGCTGAGTTAAATGTATGTGCACTCAAAGCTGGTAGTTCTCACTTATTTCAGAACAGAACTACATTATCTCACAGAAACATTAAAAAAAAAAAAAAAAAAAAAAAAAAAAAAAAGATTTCATGAATTTGCAGTGAATTGTGGTGTGCTCACAATCTTTAATACATATTTTGCCAGTCAAACATTTTAATAGCTTAGTAATCAGGGATGGATGTACTCTTATCTTCAGAGGTTACAGATTCAGTGAGGAAAACAGCTCCTTATTTAGAAACTTATTTAGAAACTGTGCTTCCATGTAAGAAGGAAACTTTCTGAACTTACTGACTGCGAGGATACTCAGACACTGAAAACTCTGGAGTCGTCTCCAGGCAACCGCAGAGGCTAAGTCCAAAACCTAAAGCTGAATTTTTGAACATCGTTTTTGACTCCTAACCACTACAAATCCTGTCAGAATCCCAGTTACACAGAGTGGTCTCTTATTGTGAAGCTGCCTACCTGGGGCTCACTGGGACCAGTTTCGTAGTGCATAATGTGGTTTTGCACCTGATATCTCTAGTTGTAGCAGAAAAAACATGGTTAACATTCTTTTCTCTCTGTTTCACAAAGCCTGCAGAGGTGTCAGAAGTCCCACATAATCTGTGTATGGCCATCAGAGTGCCCAGATTCAGCTGAATTTTCAATTAAGCTAGAACTCTTGTCCTTTTTTGGTGTTTGACTTTTTACTCATGCTGTCTAACTTTCTGTTTTATTTCCTACAGGATCTAGCAATGAAAAACAAAAACAAAGAAGAAATTAAGCAGAGCAAAAGAACTCTTCAGTTCTTAAAAACTTTACAGGTAACAGTAGTGGATTTTGTAATCAACACCAAACACAGCTATCGATTTCAGTTGGATGAAGTCAGAAAACCTCCTGCTTATACCGTTTAGCATATTCCTGCATGTCATGTGCAGTGTGTAGCTGGCTTTTATTGGCTGTTTATGCAGAAAACCAGGATTCTGAGTGCCTGACACGATGTCCACTCTCCCACAGCTGCTGGAATCACTAGAATTTTCTGAACTGTTGTTTTCACAGCAGCGTTTGCTGTACTGCTAAGCCCTTGTTTTCTTCCTTCTATGAGGTTGCTCTAGAGCATCGCTACAAAACCCAGTTTCTAGCTGCTCCCAGGTTTGCCAGATCTCTGCTATGCACTGCAGGGTGCCTTCATTTGGCTATTCATCTGCTTGAGTCGTTTCTGAGTTTAAGGCTATGGAAACGAGTGATAGTTATGCTACAAAGAAAGCTGGTAACCCCTTAAGAGAGCTTTTAATGCCCCAGTGCTTTCAAGGTGCTTCAAAATTATCAGGGAGGGTAGTCTTTGTGTCAGGGAGGCTTATTCTACCTTTCCTGCAGAAATCATTTCAAAAGTGGTGAAGCTGTAAGGAATGATTCAGTATCAGTAAGACATTAACAGGCACCTCGGAGGCAGCACTGTCTGGCCTGATGGTGAATGTTCAAACCCTCGCCCTGTCATCTCAGTGCTGAGCTTCTGCCAAAGCAAAATCCACCAAACTACGCTCCAAGCCCAGCTTTTCCCCAGTGCTAGAGTTCGACTCGGCAGCCTTCTTGTTCTTTTAATTATTCTATGTGAATATTTTTCAAAGGTTGAGTGCAACACCCACAAATAACTACTTACATATATATGCAGCCCTTAAAAACCAGGCAATAATAACAGCTAATTATCTGTGACTGAAATTGTCTATAGATGGTATTCCGAAGAGCAGGGTATGCAATGATTTTTATAGTTTTGAATCATGAAAACCATTACAGCTTGCATCGTATGCCTCGGTGCTGTTTCATTGAACTCAGTAGAACTGTGGGCATATGTAGATGTTAGTAACATATGTAGGTGCTAGCAATATTATGGCAATAAAATGTTAAGAGCCGCTATGTAAATGTAAATGCCAAGGTAAGATCCTGTTCTAGGCCTTCAACCAGGAAACCATCACTCTGAGCAACCCTCTTCAATTTAGACTTGATGAGATCCATTTAATTTTTTTTTCTAGCAGTTAAACTGACCCAACTGAATTTCTTTTTTTCTTCCTTCCGCAGCACCTGAACAAATCAGGAGTGAATTCCTTCAGCTTACGGGAGCTCTGTCAGAAAAATAACCGGAAAGAAGCTGCGGCCAAGTTCTACATCTTCCTCGTTCTGAAGAAACAGCTCGTTATCGAGCTCGCTCAGAGCGCTCCATTCGCAGACATTACAGCCACTGCCGGCCGAATGTTCAATGCTTACTGAAATCACACAGTGTTCAGATAAGCTAACAGAAATACGTTTTTTTTTTTAGAAAATACTTTTCGTGATGAAAAAATTAAAGTCCTGTCAAACCACGGTGAACTCAGCAGAGCTTCCCCTCATTTATGTGACCTCTCAGGACTGCAAAATAACTAGCTTGGGCAGGCGTGCTGCTGCAGCATTGGGTACCCAGGTGGTCACTAGAACCTTTACTCTTACATACGTGTTTCTAAAATGAGCAGTTACTTACTGTTAATATTAGATAGCAAAAATACGTATTCCACATAAGACATCTACATTATGAAGGGCTTCATGGAAGTTCTTTAAAGCCTTTCTTAGAGTCCGGCTTTGGAAACTAAATTATTTTTTTTGCAGGGCTCATGTGTGTTAATTGTCTTACTCCATCAGTAAGAGAAAAGAAATCTGTCAAACTATATTTATCAAAATCTTTAGTCTATTTAAAATTATTTATTTCAAATAAATAACTTATTTCAAAGAATGTTCAGTCTTTGATATTTTGATATTTTAAGGTCTAACAAGCTACTGTCTCCAGCATTATCTTCATGTCTTGAAATAGACAACTATGTTGTCCTTGAAGTCATGCAAGCATCAGGAAGAAATCCTACTTCCTAGAAATCCTGCAATTTTGGATTTTGTGGAGCAAATTTACATAAAGACTAACAGTTTTATTTATGTGTAGATAGACCTATTTAAAAAAAGATGTTGAACTGAAATATTATTAATCCTTGGCATTTTAATCTAATTTATGGGGAGTTTTAACACCTTTACTGTCATTTTGTAAAGATAACATTTTTCCTGTGGTGAAGGCAGGTTAACGGAGCCTGCTCAGCATGGAATGCTTTGTACGTTCGGTGCTCCACGCAAAGTGTCACAGTGCTTTGGGTATGTTGACGTCTCTTTATATGAAATCAATAAAAATCAAACAAAGATGTTTCCTTAGCTCACTGGTGTTTGTTCTGAAGGCTCAGCCACCTAGCTGTTGTTCGGGTTCCCCTTCTCAGCGTTTGCTGTGATGTTCTTAAAATTCAAACGGGCGGATGCTGTTGTCCTCCTGACTTTCCAGATGTGTGTTTTGGTTCCACCCCGGTGTGTCTAGTCATGCTAACATGTGGCATTCCCTGCCGTGCGCTGATTTGTTTGTATATGTGGGGTTTAGGGAATAGGAGGAAGAGCAGCCCTCACTGATTTCAATGTCTCTATTTACAGGGATAAAAAAAATAAGCTTTAAAATTACTTAAGATTTGCCCTGGGCAGGAAGGGATGAGCTGGGGTGTTTGGTTGGCTGATGGAGGGATGTTGGTCCAGCTTTTTTTATTTTTTTCCATTTTAGACTATTCGACAAAATAAGTAATAAAAAAACCTTCGCTGCTGTTTTGTCATGGGTTATTTTTATGGGTGCAAGGGAGGGAAAAATGAGCCGGTTTGGGGAAACTTTCCCATTCTCTGTGAAAGAAACCAAATTTTCCTTTTCTGACTTAACAGTATTCAAGTTCTGCTCTGCTCTTTAACACCTCAGAAATCAGTGCAGCATTTTTCCCCCCCAGAAGGAATCTGAAATGAACGTGCACCTTACACACCAGAGCTGCTGCCATTGCCACGATAGTGAGAGGAGCTCTGGTGGCAGCAGATGTGATAATTCGTTAATTTTGTCTTTCGGGGGGCCAGGCTGTGCATGGCATTCAGTGGGAAACACAGAAACAAAAGGAGGTTGGAGGCGAGCAGACGGAACAAACAAGAGACAGGTTGTCAGGACGTACACGCATTGAAAGCAGGCTGTATGGCAGAATAAATGAGGTACAAACCTTGCTGGAAACAGTACCTGAAGAAAGACTGGAGTGGATTCACAAAACAGGTTTGTCAGAATTCCAAAATAACCGGCTGGGACTTCCAAATGGAGGCTGCAAAGGCAGAGGAAGCGCAAGGAGCTGGTGAGCAGCTGGCTCCGAGACTTTGTGCGTGGCTGGGACCTGGGACTCGGGTTTTTATTCTTGGCCAAGCGTGCTCAGGTGTTGGACTCTGACCCAGTGCAGGAGCCAGTTCTCCGGCGTTGCTGTCACACCAACAGTTTCCCTCCCTAAATCCTCTGGCACACACATGTGGGCTGTCAGATGTTGGTGTGTAAGAGCGGTGGGGGCACGGGGACACCCCCCTGCTCTCCCGCTCCCTGCAGCCACCCTGGGGCACTTGTGGGGCCGCAGAGCAGAGCTGGAGGCCAAACCAGGCCCTGCTGCTGACCTCAGGAAGCCTCACACTAGAGTCCCAGGAGGCACGGAGCAGCCTCACCCTCTCCGGTCACTCTCTGAATAATTTGGGAGGTTTATCTGGCTTTCCATGGAAGGCAGCGGGTGGTAGCACCAGGAGCCACCGGACCGTGCCGGAGAGCTTCGGCTCCGTGCCAGCGGCCACCAGCACGCACCCACCTCTCCCAAGGGGAGCTCTCCTTCCTTCCCCGGGGGGCTGCTCCCCAGCCCTGCTGCTGCTTTTTGCTGCTCGCCCCAGCGCCCAGCTCCAGCCCTGGCTCGGGTGAGGCGCAGATTTTTGTGGTTTCGCTGCTCCTTGGCCCCAGTGCGCCATCAGCGAGCCCCGGGCGCATCCAGGGCTGGGGCGGAGAGGGCAGAGCCGGGGGACGGGGGGGCGAGGATGGGGCCCCGCCGCTGCCAGCTGGGTGGGGGGGTGGGGGGGGCGAGCGAGACCCCCGGGCTGGGTTTTTTTGGGGAGTTGCCATAGAAACGGAGGGGAAACCCCCGCGGGGGGGCACCCGCGCCGCCGTCGCTTTAAGAGCGCAGAGGAGCGAGGCAAATTACGCAGCTGCAAGGCTCATCCCTCCCTCCCTGCCTGCCTCCATCCCCGTCCCTGCCTCCATCCCTGCCTCCCTCCATCCCTCCCTGCCTCCCTCCATCCCTCCCTGCCTCCCTCCCTGCCTCCATCCCCATCCCTGCCTCCATCGCCGCCGAGGAGCCGAGCCGCCCCGCCGCACCCATGGAGGCCGGCGCAGGTGATGGAGGCTGGGGAGGGCGCGGGGCAAGGGCGCGGGGGGGGGTCCCTAAATTCTCCTCCCCTCCCCGCGCAGCCCCCGCTCACCGCCCGCTCTCTCCCTTCCCCACCAGGTCGCTGAGGCCGCCGGCTGGCCCTGCCGCCCCCACCTCGCCGGGGGGGCTCCGTGCAGGTGAGCAGGGGTGGGGGGCACCTGGGGACCCTCCTGGCTCCGGGATTGGGGATGGGGATGGGGACCCGCACCCCGGGGGCTGCCAGCGCCCCTCTCCGCAATGAGGGGGGGGCTCAAAAAGGGGGGGCGTTAAGGGCAGAGGATGCTTGGGGTGGGTCACGCGTCGGGCCCGCAGCACACCCGCATCGCATGCAGCAGACCCCGCGGCACGCACCGGACACACGTCACGCTCAGCGGACCCGCACTGCCTCCTGCACCAGCACCCCGGGGTGGGCACCAGCACCCCGGGGTGGGCACCAGAGCCGTGGCGCACGCACCGGACCCACAGCCTCTGCAGCAGACACACTGCACACACCCACGGCACGCCACTGGCCCCGCATCGCAAAGACTGGACCCGTGCGGCATCCACCAGACCCCCACGGCATGCATCAGACCCATGTCCTGGTCACCAGACCTTCACCAGACCCATATGGCAGTGCACCAGACCCCCATCACCTGCACCAGACCCCCACCCCACTCACCAGACCCACCCTGCACCCCCCAGCCATACGGCACACCCCGGACCCCCACCGCACGCACTGGACACACCCTGCATGCACCAGACCCTCCCCGTGCGCACCGGCCCCGCATCTGCTCCCTACAGAGCCCAAACGTTTCTCCCAGCTCTGCGGGGCATTGCAGGAGCTGGAGCTGCTGGGCGATGGCGATTTTATTGCTTAATGGCCTGTAGCTCCGTCTCCGAAGGGATACAGAAAACAAACGGGGTGATGGATGAGCCCTGCGCTCCTTTTCTCTCCTCCCCGCAAGGTCAGTGCTGCCCGCCCGGAGGAGCCCGCTGCTGTGCGTTTGTTGTGCCTGGGAAGTGTCAGTGCGCCCACCCCCGCTAGGAAACGTCTGGGTTGTGTCGTGACCTTGTGCGAGGAGGGGAAAATGATGGTTTGCAGGGCTCCGGGGGTCCCTGGGCTGCGAGCTTCTCCGCCTGGGCTCAGAGGGGGGCAGTGCCCGCGCTGGGGGGTGTCGTCGGCGGAAAGCGTTGCAGCTGGCTGGGGTGGTCCGAGCGGCGTGCCATTAAATGTGCCATTAAATGTGCCGTTAAATGTGCCATTAAATGTGCTGTTAAATGGGCCGGGACCTCATCCTCCACCACCACCACTGCCTTTCCCAGCCCCGATTCGAGGTGGATCGTGGCTAGGGCAGGCGTCCCTTCCGCCACGCCGAGGCTGCGTGTGCGCAGAGGGGAGGAGGAGCTGAATTTCTCTCCCATATCGCTGCCTCCCTACCCCGAAGGAGAGCTCTCTTCTCTCTGCTTGCTGGTCCTCAGCTCGGCTCCAAACACAGGAGGGGCTGAGAGCTGTAACTGCCCCCCCGCCTGCTGTCCTGCCAGTCTGAGCTGAGACTGGAGGGCCTGGGTGCCAGGCACCCTGCTCCTGCCCTCGGTGCGGTCGCTGCCACCGTGGGGTTTGTGCCAGGCTCTTTTCCCTTTCCTTCTGGGGGTGCAGCTCAGGACAAACCTGGTCCCATGGCTCAGGCCCCGTGGGGCTCCCTCAGGGAGCCAGGAGGTGCCGCGAGTGCCCCCGTGGCCGTGCCGGGTTGGAGAGCCTGGGAAAAGGGGAGAGGAGGGGAGCGCACGGGGGCTCAGCACAGCACGGGAAGGTCAGCTGGAAAAGTGGTGAGCTGCATGACCCGGCCTCTAATGGTCTCTATTTTCCTGTAATCTCTGGGTGTAAGCTCAGCATTTTATAACAAAACAAGAGAATAAAAGGAAATACGGCCGTGTTTCGTGGCGCGCTATAACAACTCTTAGCAGGATGGATTTTTCGGTGGTGTTGCATAAACCTCCCGTGCATTTTGCCCTCTGCATCTGCCCTGTGCGGCCACCAGGTGAGGGTCTGCCTGCTTTGGGACCCAGGTCCCTGCTGGAGCAGGTTTCCAAGCCCCCAGGGACCTCGCTGCCCCCCTGCAAGCTGCCAAGCAGGAGCGAAGCAGCCCCTAACCCTGACGGAGGTGGCGAGGGAGCGCGGCACAAAGTGGGCACCGGGGTGGCCTTGGCTTTTACAATTTACTCGGTGAATTTCCTCCGGTGTCTCTGTCCCCAAAAGCACCCCTGGGGCTGGAGCAGGAGCGCGGTCGTGGTCCCAGCCGTGCACCAGGCTGCGGGTCTGGGGGTCCCCTGGGGACCCCTCCCTGCCCATACACCTCATCATCAGCCCTGATGGCCTCATCCTGCTTCTCTCCACAGCCGCCCAGACAGGTCCCAGTCCCCTTTTACAAACCAAAGGATTCTGGCCCCACTGCTGTTTTCTGGGCCGCAGCACCCACTTTGTCCCAAACGCAGCTCGTGGCTGTTTATTTCGTGCTTTGTTTATTTGTAGCGTGAGGGAAAAGCAAAGCCAGAGAGGGCTCCTCGCGATGCTTTTCCTGCTCCTTGGGAAGCCGAAGCTGTGATTTGCCTTCCCTCTCGGCTCTCTGCTTTTGATGGGGTTGTCTCGGGGAGGCTGGAAACGCCGCAGCAGCCCCCAGCCCCGGGTGCCCGCAGGGTGCCACAGGGTGCTCGGTGCCCCCGCGGCAGAGCAGGGCGAGGAAACCAAGGAAATGTGCGGCACAGGCAGCGGAGGAGCGACACCAAACCCTTCTCGTGTGGCTTTGGAGAGGCCTGGTGAGGTGTCTGGGCACCCCCCCAGCCCAAACACGTCCTTTTGCCTCGCCGCAGCGCGGATCTGCGCCGACAGCCGGGGTGCCGTGCGTGCGCTGCATCCGTCTGGGGCTCGGCCAGCCCCGTTTAGGGCCGTTTTTGCAGCTATTTCGAGCCCTGCGTGGGTGGCACGCGGCAGAGGCAGCCTGCTAGCACCGCGCTGAGGAAAATCCGACGTCTGTCCCGGTTCGCCGGGAGCAGCGAGGCGAGCAGGGAGCAAAATCACCCCGCGGGGGGGGGTGACAAAAGAAGCAGCAGGCGAGAAAACCGGGGAAAGCCGAGCGGCGGCTGGCGAGGCACCGCGCCGGGAGGCAGCCACCGCAGCGCCAGGGCTGGGATTAGGGCTGCGAAACGAGCCCGCCCGCCCCTGCGTGCCCACCACACGTTCCCCGGGGAGGACAGGATGAGCTGGTGGGGCAGCTCGGGGCAGGGCAGCAGCCGGTCTTACTGCGGGCGTGCAGAAATGGAGAGAGGCGAGGTGTCTCCGGAGCTGGCAGGAGTCAACTCGGGAGCCTGCGATAGCGAAAGCCCTGGGGGAATGAGCTGAGGAGCCTTCAGAGGTCTCACCGGGGTTCCTTGGCACCGTTTGCCGTGCAGGAAGGAATGTAGGAGGCAGAGTGAAGCTGGTCCAGCCCCGTCTTTCCATTGCTGGCTCAGCGGGGAACCAGCCTGGCATGGGGAGGTGGCAGCGGTCGAGCCAAAGAGGTTTCCCTGCAGGGCAGCAGCTGCGAAGTGAAGGCTGAGCCGTTCATCCCGGGGAAATCCTCCTCAGAGCTTCGGCTCGCCCTTCCCAGCGCCCTGCCACCCTCCTCCCTTTGCATCGTCATCACTGCGTGGTTTTTAGGTCGGTGGTGGTGGGAGCCTGCATCCCTGCGCGATGTCCCTGCAGTGCCCGGAGCCCGCTGGGGGGGGACCTTGGCCCTGGGAAGCTACAGGGGGGGGCTCTAGTGGGTGCCCTGCGCTTTTGGGGAGATGATTTGTGCAGTGTCCTGGGGTGCTGGTGCCTGGCACCGCTACCGGTGCAGGCGTCAGCACCAGCAGCCCCCTGAGCCCTGCCTGCTGCTGACCGCAGCAGTTTGGGGATGCGCTCGCAACGCGGTCACAGCCAGAAATTGGGGAGGACGGCGGTGACGGCCACGGGCACGGAGGCTGTGAGCATCTGGGCAGCAGGCGGAGGTCGCTGGGTGCTGCAGGATCCCCACGGGGGCACCAGCACCCATTTCTTGTGGTGTTGCCACCACCCAGGCTCGCGGGGTCAGGCTGGGAGGTTTATGGGGAGCTTTGCTCTTGGTTGGCTCTGGGAGGCAGGATTGGAGCTTGCAGCAGGCAGCGCTCATCCTGCTGCTCCCCCAAGTCCCATTTTGGCCCGGGCAGCAGCTCCGGCTCCTCCACACAAGGATTTGCCAGCACGCCCCGAATCTCATTCCCGTTGTGGGGCTCAGGTGCAGCTTTGTGGTGCCGGGGGAGAGCTGCTCGGGGTCTGCGCCGCGGGCACGTCTCTGCTGGGGCACGACCCGCTGCCTCCAGCTCTGTGAGCAGCATCCCACCAGCGAGGGATCCTCCCGTGGTTTGTCTGTGCCCTGCTAGGCGTTCCTCCTGTTCCTCCTGCTGCAAAAAAAAAATGGAAATAAGGTGGAGGACATCAGGTGCCCCAGAGGTTCTTGGTCAAGGAGGTCTCGAGCTCCAGTTGCGCAGCCGAGCACGGTGAAGCTTCGCTGGGTCCCGCTCTGGGTTCACCCCTTGCACGACTCGAGCTGTGCAGCCGGCTGCAGCACAACATCCTGCAGGGCCCTTTGTCTCCTTTCCCACTGCCCAGGCTCCTGATGCTCATTTCTGTTTCTTTTTGGGGTGCAGAGCCGCTGCTGGAGCTGCCTGGTGGCGCAGGACCCTCTGCCCCCTGTGCTTCTGACATGGAGAAACGAACCCGCCCATCCCCTGCCCTAGCATGGCTTGCCTTCCACCCCGATGTTTTTATGGGATTTCTTCTCTCCTGCAGCTTTGCTCTGACTCCTTCCAGAAGCCTCCTGCCTTGGATGATTTGGGATTGCTGTGACCTGCTCTCCATCACCCCGCTGCGTTTCCTGGCCCTCCCCGCGGCCGCTCGCGGCTGCCATTGTCTTCCTTGCTGGCGAGCGCGCAGCGCGCTCGGGGCCTCGCTCATTTATCTTTGAACACTTTCCATTTCCTCTCTGTGTATTTCTCCTAAATGCCTAATGGACGAGCCGCCGCCGCAGAGAGCCAGAGCCGCTGTGCACGGGCTGCTTGCCACGGCGGCGCTGGGAAAGCTCTCGCCCAGGCTGCCACCAGCGGCACGCGGCGTTTCGGCTCCAGGCTGGCTGGGGCGATGGCTCTGCCCCTAAAAATCCCCTCCTGGGTGCTGGGCAGCTGCCCAGCGGAGCACAGAGCGGACAGGCTCAGTCCCTGTGTCAATTTTCCCCCTGAAAAGCCCCGGCTGGGGTTGCAGCAGAGCTCCCTGCGCTCTTGCCGTGCTGGGGAGCTGCAGCGGGGTCCTTGCTTCTGGTGCCTTTCTCCCATTCAGAGCGCTGAGATTGTCCCGTGCTGCCACGGCAAGGCTTACACCTCACCGTAGGTCCTCGCCCTGCTTCCCACAGTTGTTTTAATTCTGCCTGCAGACAGTAATTACCTCGGCCCTCGGAGGCAGGGCATTACCACAACCACCTGGGATCTGTGCGGTGGCTTTGGCCCCGAGTCTGCCAAACCTGCCTGACCTCGGCAGCTTGTGGGCACTCACCGGAGCCCCACTGCGGACCCAGCCCGTGCCACGAGGGTGCTGAGTGCCACACGGAGGGATCCCTTCCGAGCAGAGCCTCGTCGTGCACCCAAAACCTCGCAGTGGAGCAGGAGGCAGCGGCGCTGCCGGGTGCTGCTTGGCCGCCGTGAGCCAGCGCACGCTGCTCGGGGCTGCGAGAGGGCCAGGAGTTAATCTGTGCAGCTGCAAATCCCCACAAAGCCCTGCCCGGGGGCTGCTCAGAGGATCGGGGTGACATGAGAGGAGCAGGGCCAGGCTGTGCCCGTGCTGCAGTGCGCGGCGCTGCCGGAGGGCCAGGCTCTGCTGGATGCTGATTCACGCTGCTGCAGCAGCACAGCCCCGCGGCCGCGCACGCTGCCGGTCCCAGGAGCTCTGACCCAGAGGGGCTCAGCACCGCTGCTCCTGCCCCAGGACTCCCCCCCGTGCACATCCAGGACCCCCAAATCCTCTGGGGCTGGACCCCTGGGTGCTGAGCGGTGGGCTCGCCACGGCTGCGCGCTGCCAGCCCTTCTGCTGCAGCTCCCTGAGCCCGTCGGAGCCCTGCTTTGGGGAGCAGGTAGCAGCAAACCATGGGGAGAGAAGTGGGGGGGAGCTCGGTTTTGGGCAGGAATTAGCCTGGGAGAGAAGACTCTGGGATTGCCAACGCCAAAGGCCGCATCGGGTGCGAGCTGGCAGGGTGCCCTCCTTTCCTCCAGCCTCTCCCCCCTCTCTCTCCCTGCTTTTCTCCCTCCCCGGGAGCGGAGCCCAAGCAGCACTCAGCGCTCCCAACCCATCGATTTCCAGCTCCCATCGCTGGGGCTGCTCGGGGCTGAAGCTGCCAAAATCTGGGACAGATGCCGGCAGCTTGAATATGCCGGGGGTTGGGGGTCCCACGTGGTGCCCCCCCGCTGTCCCCAGCAGCCCGCGAGCACGGGATCCAGCCGACAGCTCCGGACCCCTGGGTCTGCCCTATTTATTGACAGGCAAAGATCTGGGGTTCTCACGGGTTTAGGGCTGCTGCTGCATCATGCAGGGATCCTTACCTGCTTTCCCTGCTGATCCTGGCTTAATTAATGACGAGAAATAAATGTTCCAGCCCGCAGCAGGGACAGCAGCGTGCCACGGTCACCGGTGGGGTGGGACATGGCGAGGTGCAGGGCTGGGCATCAGGACCACGAGGTTTCATCCCATTTCTGCCCAGGAACACTCGGGTGGGCGTCTGGGCTGCTTCTGCTTGGCCTTGCAATGCAGAAAGCCCCCACCCCAGCTGTGGTGCCGGGGCAGGACCCCGTGCACGCAGCATCCCCGCGTTTGTGAGCCGTGAGAGGCTGGCAGAGAGCAGAGCTGGGATGTGCACGGGATGCAGCCCACGTCCGTCCCCATAAAGGTGACCCCAAGGCTTAAATCAATGCCCTCGTGCTGGGGCTGAGCTCTGCGTGGGTTTTTCCCCACCCTGACCTCCTCTCTCTGTTGCGTTTACCCCGCAGTTCCCCCGCGCCCAGGACCCGCGGCACCGTGGCCATGTCTCTGCCGGGCAGCAGACGCTCGTCCACCGGATCCCGAAGGTGAATATGCTTCAGCCTCTCGTCCCCGGAGCCCGGCCGGCTCTCCTCGTGGTTAGCAGCAGGGCAGGAGCCCCCCCGTCCTCCCGTGCACCCACCTCGGGGCTGCTGCTCCACGGCACGGCCGCCCAAACCTGGGTTGGGGGCGCCGCATGGCACCGCTGCACCGCGTCCCCGTCTCCGCATGGAGCACCCCCAGCACCGCACCCCCGTCCCTCTCTGTGTGTCTCTGACCCCCCCATGTCATCGATAACTTGGTCCTGGGATCAATCCTTGGTCCCAGGATCAGCTCTTTGGGCTCTGGGTCGAGTTCTTGGTCCCGTCTGCCAAAGGCAGGTGCCGGTGGGGGCCCCGTCCCCAGCCAGCGGCGCGAGGGCGCTGGGGGCAGGCGGTGACACCGGGAGGTGCCCACCCCTGGGAAGGTCCCTCCTTGGGCTCCAGTGATAGAAAGCAAAAGGGAAAAGTGATTAAAAAATGGCATTTATTCCCCTCTGAATATTTCCACGTCCTGGGCTGCAGGTTTGGAGTGAGGGGCTGCAGCCAGCGCCGGCACCAAAAGGCAGCGTGGGCACCACAGCAAAGCTCTGCCCCCGGGGGGGGGCTCCTGGTGCCGGTCCCTGGGGTCTGGGGGTGCCGTGCTGGTGCCCAGGGGGGTGCCACATTATGGGGGGGAGAGGGTGGGCAGCCCCCCTGCCCTGCCTTTGCGCCCGTCAGCGTGTCCGTGCCATTTTGATCCCCGCTGTTTGTTTTGTCCTTTTGTCTTGTGCGCCCTCGGCGTGGTGGTTGGCAGTCGCGGGCTTTATGGACGGAGTGGCTTGGCCTCCTTCTTTAAGTCTTCGGCGCCCTCAGCCACTCGGCCTGAGACACAGCCTCTTCTCCCTGCCTCCAGGCGCCCCTCGCCCCCCGGGAGGGACACCTACGGCACCTCCTCGCTGAGCAGCAGCAGCAATTCTGGCTCCTGCAAGGGCAGCGACAGCAGCCCCACCCCAAGGTAACCCATCGCCCGCAGCCCCCCCATGGCAGGGGGGAACAGCACCCATGGGAGCTCTGCCCCCAAGTGCTGCCGGAGCCCAAACCCGGGGCAGGGGCCGCAGAGCGAGGCTGTGCTGCTGCCATGGCGGCTGGGCGAGCTGCCCGTGGGGCTGCGAGCCCCCCTCCGCCCTCCCCAGCACCCCCCCCGCTGCCGTTGTTGTGTCTCCTTTCCCTCCCGTCCTTCCCGTGGCTGTGGCTTGCGCACTGCTCGCATCCCCCCCCGCTGCGCCCCGGCTCACTTTGGGACAGTGTCAGGGCTTTGTTTCATCCCCTTCGTGCTGTGGGGCAGGGTTTGGGGCTGCCTGTGCCTTGCACCAAGCTGGGGCTGCCCCCACCAGCCCCCAGCCACAGTTCCAGCTCCCAGAGGAGGTGGCACCAAATCTGGGAGGCAGTGACGGGCCTGGGGACAAGCTGGGGAACGGAGACGGTGCCTAGAACACGGATGGGGTGGCCACGGGTATTGCGAGGCCCCGTTCTGCCTGGCTGCCCCTAAAAGAGCTGCTGCGATGGGCAGGGGCTCAGACCACCCCGCTGCGACCTGGGGGGGCTTTGGTTCACCCTGCTGCACCGTGAGAGCTCCTCGTGCTGCCCGCAGGTCCCCTGCGCCTCCCCTGCTCCTCTCGTGCACCCACGGAGCTGCAGCCGCTCCCCATCCCCTCCTACTCCTGGCCTCCCCCTGCTTGCCCTGGGCTTTAAACCAGTGCCACCAGCCTCATCTGTACTGGTGGCAATGCAAGAAGGGCCCCAAGGTGCTGTGCCACGTGCTGGGTGCCCCAGCTTGCTCTCCATGGGCTCTCCAAACCTGCTCCATCCTGAGCCATCCCATTGCGCATCCTTCAGACCCTCATCCGACGGCCCTGATCCCACCCTGGGGTCTCCACCCTCGTTGTGCATTCCCCTAGCAAGCTTGCTCGGGGCCCCCAGCACCACCAGCCCCCCGCTCTGCTCACGCAGGGCCTCGGAGAGCCACCGCCGAGCGGTGCCCAGGGTGGCACAGCCGCCTTGCCACCCGCATCCCTTCCCCTCCCACCCGTGGGGCTCTTTTGGGGTGCTTCACGGGGCTGGCACCACCCTACAAAAGAGACATCAGCCTCTCCACCGAGCCCCACGCTGGCGGTGGGTGACGGCCGTGTCCCCGCAGGCGCTCGGCCAAGTACAACCTGTGCAGTGACAACCACGGCATAAAGCCGCCCACGCCGGAGCAGTACCTGACGCCCCTCCAGCAGAAGGAGGTTTGCATCCGGCACCTCAAAGCTCGCCTGAAGGACACGCAGGAGCGGCTGCAGGACAGGTGAGCCCCGCGCCGTCACCCCCAGTGCGCTGCAGGACCCGGCTGCCCGTGTCCCCTCGGTGTCACCTCGGGTTCGTGCCCGCTCTGCACCCGGGGAGCACCACGGTGCTGCAGGGCATCGCGGGCACAGCTCCCCCCCTGTTCTCTTCCCATGCAATCCGAATTCACTGCCAACCCGGCGAGCAGATTTCGGGGCTGCAGAACTTGTAAATCTCACCGGAGGTGACTGTGCCTCTTCCCTTCGCCGCCGGTTTTTCCCTCCCACAGTTTTTTCTGACGGAGTGGCTGAGCTCCATCTGCTCCTTGCTGCCTCCCCAGCTGCCGTGCGCCCGCCTTGGGCACCTGCCTGGCCCCACGCAGCCCTCTGCAGCCCCTCCGGGAAGGGGTCAGGACACCTCTCCCAGGGGTCCCTGAGCCTCTGGACCCAACCCTGGGTCCCAACCGTGGTTTTTTCAGGGTGGTCTCACCCCAAATCACTGCTCCAAGCACCCACGGTAATTGCTGGGCACGCGAGCGCTCGGCTCCGTGGCATCCCCAGCGCTGTCGCGGTGCCCCGGCACGGCAGGGACCTTGGTGACCCTCTGCGTGCCCACGCACCCACCCCTGTCTCTTGCAGGGATGCTGAGATCGAGGACCTGAAAACGCAGCTGTCGAGGATGCAGGAGGACTGGATCGAGGAGGAGTGCCACCGCGTGGAGGCCCAGCTGGCGCTGAAGGAGGCGCGCAAGGAGATCAAGCAGCTGAAGCAGGTGATCGACACGGTGAAGAACAACCTGATGGAGAAGGACAAGGGCCTCCAGAAGTACTTCGTGGACATCAACATCCAGAACAAGAAGCTGGAGACGCTGCTGCACAGCATGGAGATCGCGCAGAACGGGGCGCTGAAGGAGGAGGGGGCCGGCGAGTCGGCGGGGGGGTCCCCAGCCCGTTCCCTCACCCGCAGCTCCACCTACACCAAGCTGAGCGACCAGGCGGCCGGGGACCGCAACGTGGGCGGCTCGCAGACCATCTCGGTGGACGAGGGGGCCGACAGCGGCTTCGCGGGGGCGGACGAAGCCCCCGGCCGCCCGGACTTGCTGGAGGGGGGTGAACCGTGCGCCCGGCTGCCCCCCAGCTCCACCTACGAGAAGCTGCTGGGGCTGCGGGGCGGCGTGGAGGCGGGCGTGCAGGCCAGCTGCATGCAGGAGCGAGCCATCCAGACGGACTTTGCGCACTGCCAGCCCGACCTGGACACCCTCCTGGAGAAGGTGATCAAGTCCCAAGCTTGCAGTTTGGGCAGCCCCACCTCCGCCTGGGTCTCCGAGTTGGAAGACGGCTGCGAGCAACCCAACCCCGCCGGCACCATGGACCTGGTGGCCGCCGACCCCGAAACCGTGCCGGCGGAGACGGGGACCCCCCACAACAACCCCACGGTGCAGCAACCCCACGGCACCGGCTCGTCCGTGGCCATCACCTGCGTGGCGGCGGCGGCGACGGAGGTGGAGGAGGAGGCGACGGAGGCGAGCTGCGACGCCGCAGCCCCGGCCAAGAGCTACTGGAGCCGCCACTTCCTCGTGGATCTGCTGGCCGTGGTGGTGCCGGCGGTGCCCACGGTGGCGTGGTTGTGCCGCTCGCAGCGCCGGCAGGGCCAACCCATCTACAACATCAGCTCGCTGCTGCGGGGCTGCTGCACCGTGGCCCTGCACTCCATCCGCAGGATGGGCTGCCACGCCGTCGGCACCCCCGGGGGGAGCACCCAGCCCTGACCCCCACCCACCCCGTCCTCCCCAAATCGCCGCCGCCGTCCCCCCTGCCCGCCCCCACGGACCCGACCGCTGATTGTAAAGCCCCAGTGCCGGCGTTGCCCCCGCTCCCCCGGGGTTGGGGGCACCTCGTCTCCTCCAGGCTCCTTATGCAACCCCAAGGAGGGGGCAAAAAGGGGCGCGGGGTGGGGTTTGGGGGGGTTCTGCTGCTGCTCTGACACCTCTGTCCCAAAGGATGCCGAGGACCATTCGTGGAGGGGTGGTGACACACGGGATGGCCAAACCCTGTGCCACCCCCCGGCATGGCTTTGGGGGTGCCACCCCGCTGGGGGGGTGACTTCATTGCACTTGCTTTCTTTTCGGATGTCCCCACGTGGCCCAGGGGACAGCTCTCTGATGGCAAGGAGCCGTCGGGCACCGGGGGGGCCAGCATGGGGCCGTGGTGGATCCCCCCCACCCCACTGGGCACCTTCCTTGCGCCGGGTGCAGCTCCGCACGGTGACGGCAAATTGCAGCTGCTGGTGGGGGGACAGCGGGGAGCCCCCGGATAACTGAGATGGAATCGGATGGAATCTGATGGAATTGGATGAAATCGGATGGAATTGGATGAAATCAGACGGAATTGGGTGAAATTGGGCGGAACTGGCGATACCATTGGATATACCTCACGCGTCAGAGCAAGGCTGAGCCGCCCGCGGCGCCGTCGGTCCCGTACCGCTCGTTCGTTTGCTTTGCACTAGGGTCACTTTTTTTTTTCTTCTGGTAAGGACAAAAACCCCGGGGTGGGGACCCAGGTGGTGGTGGGGGGGTGAGGATGAGCCGACCCCTTGCTGGCAGCCTCCAGAAAATGCCTTTTTTTTCTTTTTTTCTTTCTTTTCTTTTTTTTTTTTTTTGAAAAGCAAAGACAGCAAAGGTTGGTCAGCGGGGGCCGGCGAGGCACCAGACTTCAGGCTCCCTCCTGGGTGTGCCGAGGGGTGCCGGGCCCCGGCCCCCACCACGAATGTCTGCGGCTCCTTCGTGACTTGAATTAACGATGTGCTCCCCCCCCTCGCCCCCCAGCTCCGCTCTAGCACCCATGGGTGCTGCAGGAGCTGGCGACGCTCATGGGGCCCCGGCTGCTGCCCACTCGCCTTGGCCCCCGCCGTGTCCTGCATGCCCCGAGCCTCCCCGCGCCCCCCAGTCCGTGGGGCCGGGGGGGGCACCGTGTAAAATATTCGGGGAGAAGCGGTGGGAACGCAGCCGGGATATCAGCCTCTCGTGCAATGTAGTTGTGGATCCGTGTACGCGTCTGTCCGACTATCCAAAGCTTTGCCAAGAAATAAATGTAACGACTATATTTGAAAGACAAATCTATATAATATATTTTTTAAATACAGAAGTGAAAAAAAAAAAAAAAGCTGTAACCTCCCCCCCCCCCCCGCCCCAATCCCCCTCTTCTCTCGTTCTCCACTGTCCTGTACTCGCTGTCTGTGGTGGATGTAATAAACGTCGCTGGGTCTGTGTCTGCTTTCGCTGGAGCCAGCTTTTGGCATCTGCCCCGAGAGGCCACAGGGGACACGAGGGGACCTGGGGGGGGACCCTGGGACAAGGGGAGGCAGCGTGGAGGTGGGGGCACCTTCCCCATCCCCACTGCTGAGAGCGAGGATGCGGGACGGCGCTGCGCTGCCCTGCAGCCCCAGGCTTTTATGGGTTTCTGTGCTACAACAGCTACTTTGGGGGGCTGCAGGGGTCCCTTCTAGGGTCCCTCTGAGCCCCCCCACTTCCAGGCTCGGCCGGGGGGGTGCCCACACCGGTGGCGGGACAGCGGCGATCGCATCAGAGGTCGGGGATGGAGTGGTCCATGGACGACTTCACCAGCCCCGCCGACAGCCTGGGCGCAGGGGAGGTGCTCAGGGGACAGCCCCCGGGTCCCCGCGGGGGTAACCCTGGGGCTTTTTTTGGGGGAGGAACAAGGGGCAGGGGGTGCGGGCACTCCCCCGGTCTCACCGTTTGACCATGTGCTCGTAGATCACGGCGGGGATGATGGTGAGCGTGACGACGTTCCCCTGCGTCCGCCAGCACCTCCAGTGAGCTGCTTATCCTGGGGGTGAGAGGGTGGTGGGAGGCGAGCGGTGGCCCCCGTGGTCCCCCCCCCGGCAGAGCAGCTCGAAGTGCCTGCCCTGGCCGCATCCTGGTGTGTTTTGCACAGATGGTTGTGCAAAAACTAAAAACTAACAGGGATAAAACCACGGGGGTGCAACAACCCAACCTCCCCAACCCACACCTCCCCCGGGGTGGCACCACCCTGGTGGCTCCGAGTCTTTAAATCCTGCTGTTTGAACCCAAAAAAGACCCTACAAAAGGCCGCAGGGGCGGCGCCTCACAGCCAGCAGCCACATTTTGGGGTCCCTACCTTCATGCCGATGACGTTCTGGCCGTTGACCTCGCAGATGTAGTGGTGGGTCAGGAGGCCGTTGCGGGCGGCCGAGCTGTCCTTGGCCAGCGAGACGATTTTCCCCTTCTTCACCACGACACCCACGTGGCCGGTGCTGTCCTTGTGCACCGTGACCGTGCGCTGGAACGGCCTGAGGGGACAGCGGGCTCAACGCCAGCCCCGTGCGTGGCACCGTGCGCCCGGGGTCCCCCCCTGAGCCGCTCACCTGTCCCTCACCACCATGACGATTTTCTCCGGGGACGCTTTCTTCAGCGCCCGGTGCGCCTTGTCGCTGCTCCAGCCCGTGCAGTTCTTGCCGTCGATCTGCAGGATCTGGTCACCGAAACGCAGCCCCACCAGCGAGGCCGGCGAGTTGGCCTTCACCAGCTGCACGAAGATGCCCTGGGGACGAGCGGGGAGCGATGGCACGGGGTTGGCACCGGGTGGCCGTGCCGTGCTGCGGTGTGCCAGGCTGTGCAGCGGGGCACTGTGCCATGTCGTGCTGTGCCGTGCAATGGTGCAGCCCACCGTGCTGTGCCATGCCATGGAGCACCGTGCTGTGCCGTGCCATGCCCTGCCATGCTATGCCGTGCCATGGAGCACTGTGCCATGCCATGGAGCATCACACCATGGAGCACCACACCGTGCCGTGCCGTGCCATGCCGTGGAACACCGTGCTGTGCCATACCATGCTGTGCCATGCCATAGAGCACCATGCCATGGAGCACCACACCGTGCCGTGCTGTGCCATGCCATGGAGCACCGCCCTGTGCCGTGCCATGCCATGCCATGCTGTGCCATGGAGCACTGTGCCATGCCTTGGAGCACCATGCTGTGCCATGCCATGCTGTGCCATGCCATGGAGCACCGTGCTGTGCCGTGCCATGCCATGCCGTGCCATGGAGCACCACACCATGCCATGCTATGCCATACAATGCCGTGCCGTGCCGTGGAGCACTGTGCCACACTGTGCCATGCCATGCCATGGAGCACTATGCCGTGCCATGCTATGCCATGCCATGCCATGCCACGCCATGCCGTGCCGTGGAGCACTGTGCTGTGCCATGCTATGCCATGCCATGCCATGGAGATCCACACCGTGCTGTTCTGTGCTATGCCATGCCATGCTGTGGAGCACCGTGCCGTGCCATACCTTGCCATGCCATGCCATAGAGCACCGTGCCATGCCATGGAGCACTGTGCCATGCCATGGAGCACTGTGCCATGCCATGCCGTGCGATGCCATGCCATGGAGCACCACACCGTGCCGTGCCCAGCCCCTACCAGCCCAGCCCCTCACCTGGTCGATGTTTCTCAGCTGCAGCCCCGTTTTGCCCTTCTCGTCCTTGCAGAGGTGAATCTCCCGCACGCCCGGCTTGATCTCCGCCCGCCGCAGCCCCGCGTTGTTCCCGCTCAGGGGGGCGACCAGCTGGCCCGGCAGGGGGCCGGCGGGGGTCAGCGCCTGCGTTGGAGCCAGGTTTAGGGGGGCCAGCAGGGGCGCGGGGCCCTGCGATGTCCCCAACCTCACATCAAACCCTCGGGGGACACCGTGCCCCTGCCCCGGGCAGGATGTGGCTGCGGGAGGGGACCCCCCCAGGAGGTGTTTGCTGTGTTTGGGGGGGTCCTGGAACAGGGCAGGTGGGGGCCCCAGCCCAGACACCTACGGTGCTGCTGTCCGGGAAGAGTTTTTTCTGGATCTCTTCGCTGGAGAGCGCGAGTCCCATGTAGTCCTCCAGCTCCGCCAGGTTGGGGTACAGCATGGGCGGTGCTGTGGGGCACAGCGAGGGTGGCTTTAGTGGGGGGGGGTCCCCAGTTTACAGCCACCCCACACACACATCTGGGAGCCCCCCAGGACCAGGAGCCAGCAACTGGCACAAGGGGCATGGAGAGAGCCCCCTCGGGATGAGCCAAAGGGGAGAAACCCCCAAGCCCCAATCCCCTACCCCTGCGCCAAGCTGTGGGGGGGTCTCAGCCGAGCCCCCCGCCCGTGGTGGGCGACCCCCCAACCCAAAGAGCCCCTCGACACCGGGGGCTGATCGCAGCCCACGTTACCAGAGGGGAGCTTCGGCTTCTCCGTGAGCAGCGTCGTGGCGGGGGTGCCGACACCAGCGGCTGCCTGCGCCTGGCGAGAGAGGGGGGGTGCTCGGGGTGAGCCCCTCGGGGTCAGTCCCTCCCCACCCCATAGGGACGCTGATCTGACACCAACCTGCAGGACCTGGTGGCCTTTCATGTCCTCCAGCGAGGGGTAGAGCGTTGCCATCGCTGCTGCTGCTGCTGCGCCCGTGTCCTGGGACAGGAACGGGGACGGGGTTGGGGCAGTTTGGGGACGGGGGCGCCTCTCCCCGAGCATCCCTCGTGGCCCCACGGGGATGGCACCAGGAACAGGAGCCGGCCCCAGCCCCAACCCCAGCTGCTGCCCCCACAAAGCTGGGGCTCGCCCTGCTCCCTGCGTGCCTGGCTCCGTGCCCTGGCTGTCACCCACGAGCTCTGGAGTGACTCAGGGCTGTGTCACCGGGGCCACCGCCTCCGTCACCTCCCGGGGATGGGACACGGGCGGCCGCGTGCCGGGCACGAGCACGGGCACGAGCGTCCCGGTGGCTGCTGCTCCGTGGGGAACTGACCCCACTGTCCCCTGGCACCCATCGGGGCTGTGCCAACATCCCCAAACGTGGCAGGGAGACGTCCCCAAGGGCGGTGTCCCCATGGGCAAAGCCCTCCCGTCGCTGCCTTTCCCCCCTTCCCCCTGCCCCCTCCACCCCAATGTCCCCGCGCGGTGCCCCCAAAAGCATCCCCAAAACCTCGGTGCTTGGGGGGGGGGGACAAACCCAGACCCCGCTCTGACCCCTTGAGCCCCGTGGGAGCTGGGCAGGGTCCTGCCCGGCAGTGGCACCCCCAAGATGTGGGCAAGCCCCCCCCCCAGGACCCAACCCAGCTCCCCCCAAGCCCAAATCACCCCGACCTCACCTGCGATCAGCTCCGGTTCCTGCGCCCTGCCCCGTGCCTTGCCCCGGGGCTTTATAGCAGAGCCTGGCCCGGGGAGGGGCCTGGTGGCTTCAGCTGACTGCCACCACCCCCAGGTGAGGCACAGGTGAGGAGGAGGAGCAGGAAGATGAAGGCAACGCAGCCTGGAGAACCGATATTATGGGGGTTTTGGGGGGTGCTGACCCCCAGCCAAAAGCACGCGGGGATGGGGACGGGGACGGGGACGGGGGCAGTTTTCCGTGGTTCCAGCCATGCTGGGTGCTGCAGATTTGGGGCTGTGCACCCCTACACCCACCACGGAGACCCCCACCCCCCCTGGCATCGCCACCCCAGGTGCCCCCAGCACCCAGCTGGGTGCCACCACGGTCACCGTGCCCCAACCTGGGGCCACCACGGCTCCGTGCCCCCGGGGTGGGCACAGGGGGGTGCCCGTGCCAGGAGCCCCGCGTGGGCGGCCGCCTCCCGTGACCCCAGTTTGGGGCGCGTGGGGCTGACGTGCCCCGTCCCGCACCCTTCCAGCCAGCCACCAGGCCCCGTGGGCACGTCCCAGAGCTGGGAACACCGAGGCAGTGCCACGCTGGGTGAGTCAGGGCGCAGGCGGAGGGTGTCCCGCTGCCGTGGGACATCGCCGCGTCACCACGGTCCCCAATCCATGTGGCACCGAGCCACACGATGCCATCGTGTCCCCAAGTCCTCGGGGAGCAGAAATGGGGTCCCAAAGGTGCCCAGAACTGGTGGCACCAGCCCGGGATCGGGGCCAACAGGAGCCGGGCACCTCCCAGCCCTGCCCGCCGGGCCAGGAGGAAGCGATTTATTTACTGGCGGTGGTTTTTTATTTATTTACTGGAGGTATTTTTAGCTTGGCCGTGCCCAGGACGGGAGTGGCCCCACAGCTGAGAAAACGGGGCCAGGAGCAAGCGCCAGGGGAGGGAGGCAGAGCCAGGAACCCTCCTGGAAGGGACGGCTCCGCGGGCAGGAGGCTGCGCCTGCCCCGGACACCGCACGGGGATGGGGCTGGGGGGGTCCTGGTGGAGGCTGCAGCTTCGGGGGGGGCACGGGGGGAGCCTGGGGACACGCTGCTGGTGGCACACACACCGTGTGCGCTCACACTCGCTCACTCTTGCACACACACAACTCCTTCTCCGTGTCCCCAGTGCCACCTCTCCAAGGAAGCCACCAGCCCTGGCCACGCAGCCCCTTGGACAGCCGGCCGGGAGCAGCAGGACAGGAGGACAGGGACAGCCCCAAGCAGCCCCCCCCAAGCCCCTTCCTCCTCGGTGCTGCCTTATCTCTGCTCCCAGCGCCTCGGCACAGCCTGGCACCGGTTAATAATTAAGGCAAAAGGCTGCAGGAAGAGAAACCCGAGCTCACCAGGACTTTCCGCCCAGGTGCGGTCACCAGGACGCTTGGGCACATCCATCCCGAGGCACCCAGACAAAAACGTTCCCAAATTGGGTGCTGCGGGCACCGGGAGCCCAGAGGGTGGCAGCCCAGCCTGTAGACTCTCCGTCTTCTCCCAAGGCACCAGCTCCCTCCAGCGCCTTTTCCAGCCTCCCCGCAGCCCCCCTAAAACACAAACGTGGCTCCCGCAGCCCCGCTGCAGCTCGGGGACTCGCCCCGGCCGCGTTATCGATCGTGGCAAACGGAGCAAAGGCCAACCCTGGGGACCTTGAGCCTTTAATTCGACGCTCAGCCCGTGCCCTGTGGGCTCCTCGGCTCCGACACAGGCAGCGAGAGCAGCAGCACCCCCGCCCCGAGCCCCCAAATGTTTCCCCACCACCGAGCGTGCAAGCTTCTGCAAGAAAAGACCAAAAAAAAAGAGGGGCTGCGAGCCCTGTCCTGCAGGTGGGAACCACAGCATCGCCCCAGCCACCCCCTGGAGCAAAGCCCCTGCCAAAGCAGGCAGGCAGGAGTGCTATTTCCAGCCCCCAAAAGACCCAAAAGACCCAAAAATGGACAAAATAAAGACTTCCCTGGGGCAGGGAGCACCCATCGGGGTGTCGCAGCCCTAAGGCCGGATGCTGAGGGCGATGCTCAGCGGGGTTGTGGCAAGGAGATGATGCAAAGCCAGCAGGACATCGCTTCATTATCTGTGCCAAATAATTATTGGGGGAGAGGGGGGGCAAATTATTCCCTCTGCCACCCCAGGGCAGGAGGCCGGCCCTCCCCAGCGCCCCGCGAGCCGGAAAAACCTGGGAGACACAGGGCTGAGAAAAGCCAGCATAAAGCGTTTTTATTGCAATAATAAAACTTGATACCTTTAGGCGGTGGAGAAGGAAGTGAACGGCGGCAAATTCTCTCACCAAATCACTACGCGGGGCAGAGGGAGGGGGCAGGAGGACAGCAGCTGGGGGGGGGGGAAGCTACGCGGTGCAGGAGACCAGACAAAGCGGCGATGACCAGCATCAGGTGGCAGGAGAGAAGGGCCGGGGGGGCTCAGACCGGGGACAACCGGGGTCTGATTTTTTGATTTTTCCTTCCCAAAAGGGAGAGGAGGAGGGGACACACACACACACACGCACACACACACATGGGGGGGGTGTTTCCTTACGAGCTGACCCCCACCAGCCCCCCGCCACCTCCCCTGCCGACAGCACCTTCCGTTCGTCTGCCGATTTTTGTGGTTTTATTAAAAAAAAAAAAACTCAATGTAAATTTTGAATTTCTAGGGCGCAGCGGAGCTCCCACGGGCACCCCGTCTCCGCAAACCCAAAACGGGGGTTTGGGGACGGACCCACTGAGCTGGGAGGGGGCGCGGGGGGGAAAACAGCCCCCGGCGATGCTGCGCTGGCCCCCGGGGAGCAGGGGGAGGACTCGCTGCTTCCTCGGGGGCCCCGGGTGCAGGGGGGGTGACCACACACCATCCTAGCACTGCTGCGCTCTCCGCATCCGTTCCGCCTCGCCAGCCTCACCCTGCTATGGCTTTTTTTTTCTTTTTTCTTTTTTTTTTTTTTTTTTGCAGCAGCAATTTTCTGGTTTGAGAACACCACAAGAGATCTGCGCACCCAGACAAGTAACCCGCGGGTTTTCCTCGCCTTCAAATGACTCCTAGCTAAAAGGTCAGCCCGTCTGCGTGCTACCGGTCAAAACTACACCTGGAACGAAAATAAGAAGAAGGACTTGACCCCCCCCCCCAAAAATAAAAATAATAAAAAGAGTTGAGGTTGACGGCGTATAGTTTAAAAAGACATAAAAACACGATACGAGGAGGAAGAGTCAGACGCAAAGCTTAGTGACCAAAGGCATTCAATCAAGGTGTAAGGTTATACAATGAGTGTAGTGGACTATCAGGAAAAGCTCCGTACGAAGTCATGTGCACTCTTCTTGAAGCTGAGATTCTGGATTCCTCCATGTGCCAAACCTGTCTGGGGGGAGAGAGGAGGCACCGTGACAAAGCCCTGCAGGGGAAGGAGCACGCTCAGCGAGAGTGGCTCTCGCTGCAAACCGCAGGGTTTGCTCAAAGCAGAAGTGGAGCCCTGGTGACGAGAGGGGGGGGAGATGGCTCGGAGAGCACGGCCCCATCCTGCCTGCACCGTGGGACCCACGGGGGGGTGAAAAAGAGGTGCAAGGGGCAGCGGGGACACAACGTGAAGGAATTGAGGCAAAATCACCCAGCACCAGAATGTCCCCGAGGTATGAACCTGCTGGGAACTGCCTGTGTCACCAGAGGGGTCCCCAAATCACCAAGCCTCCCCCAGCCAGAATCCTGCCCCATCCTTCTCACTGCCCCAGCCACCATCGCCTCCATCCCCCCCTCCCCAGATGGGGGGGCCTCGAGTCTTCCCCCAGCCCCCCTGCAACCCCCCTCCTTACCCGAGGACAGGGCGTTGGGGTAGGTCATTCCAATTTCATGAGCTCCACGTCGAAAATTAGAGTGGCGTTGGGTGGGATGATCCCCGGGTGGCCGGTAGAGCCGTAGGCGTAATCTGGGGAGATGGTCATCTTCGCCCGCTGACCAACGCTCATCTGGGGGCAGGGAAAGGGACAGGGATGTCAGGAGATGTGCAAATATTGCGAGAGTGGCAGCAGGAGGGACACAGGAGGGCCTCAGCTCCTCTCCCTGTGCTGGGAAGGAGCGAGGACAGAAGAGGAACGGGAAAACCATCAGAAGGGGAAGGCTGCGAAAGGAGCAGGGCTGCCACAGACGGAGCCGGGCTAGAGCCACGTCCTTCACGCACGTGTTTTTTGGGGCCAGGCAGGGACTGCCAGACCGTTCCCTCCAGATGGCAGCATCCTCGTGCTGCGTGCGGCGTGGGCGCCGGCTCCCAGCCGCAGTCACGCACCGTGCCGAGAAGCCTCCCTCCATCCCTCCCTTCATCCCTCCATCCTTCCCTGCCTGCCTCCCTCCATCCCTCCCAGCCTCTGCGTGGGTTTTGCAGCCCGGGAGCCGTCGCTGCCGGGAGCTGGGGGCCCCCCGAGTGCTCCCCGCGGAGCTCGCTCGGAGCTGACTCAGTGGAGAAATGTCACCGCTGAGTCACCGGCGTGTGCCGTAGGTGTTCCTCAGGCCCGGCCCTGCTCTCTCCGTTCCTGCCATCTGGCAGGTGGCAAACGCAGGAGGTGATGATATTCACGCCCACGCCTCCCGTGGCGGAGGGGGCGGAAAGCACGGAACGGGGTGGGGGGGCGAGATAAAAGAGCTGCACGCAGCCGTCCCCATGCGCGCGCGGAGAGAGGCGGCGGGTACCTGGGCGACTCCTTCCTCCCAGCCCCGGATCACCTCCTGCTTGCCCATCACGAACTTGAAGGGTTTGTTCCTGTCGCGGGAGGAATCGAACTTCTTCCCGTCCTCCAGCATACCTGGGGAGAGAAAAGAGGGAGGGAAGGGAGGAGGGGAGGGATGAGGCTCGTGACCAGGAACAGAGCCACGCGAACGCACCCGGGCGCCGGGTCAGGTTGTCACCTGGCGGTGACGGTCGCCCCGGTGGAGCTCACGTGGCCCTGAGTCAAAGGGGATTTGCAGCAGCTTCATTTTCCAGCCTGGGGGTGAGCCCCCCCCTTCACCGGCACCTCCTGTTGCAGACCGGGGCTGGGGGAGCACCCTGGGGTGGGCAGGATGGGACCCCCAGCACCGGCTGCTCCCCACGGCACGGCACAAGCCACCCGGGCACGTTTCCATCCTCGCACACTGCTGGCCCCACAGGAGCCAAACCATGCCCAGGAGTGCCGGGGAGGGGGGAGAAGACGGTGCCAGGTGCCCCGGGCAGCCCCCATCCTGCAGCCCCCACCACGTAGCGCAGGCTCCACGGCTCCCGCTGATACCCCAGGGCTAAATATAACTCCCCCCGGCACGGCACGAGCGAGGGAGGAATTTCCTCCCTTCGCCGCGGTCCCTCCCTTGCTCCCTGCGTGACCTTCTTGGGGAATCTCGCAGCCGGAGCTGCCTCATAGGAGCTGAGGCTTTGCTGGGAGAATTTTGGCTGCTGGACAGGCGACAGCCACGCCGGGAGCTTTGCACGGGCACCAAGAGCCCGGAGAAGCTGGTTTTGTACCTGGGGTGTCCACACCGCCGGCACACGGAGCTCGGAGAGGGCTGTGGGCACAGGAACCAGAGCTGAGGGCTCGCAGACCCCAGAAGCAGCAGCTCCGAGGGCTCTGGTGTTGCTGCAGCAGCGTTGGGATGGAGCCTGCAGAGCCACGTCTGGGGTTGTGGGGTCCTGAGGCTGCTGCCAGCTCCCCCGTGCCCAGGAACAGCCACGTCCCTCTCTCCTGAGGCTGCCACGGCCATAAAAAGGCAGAGCCCGTGCCTGCGGCAGCTGCTGACGAGCAGCACCCAAGGGTTTGAAATCTAAGAGCAACCATCGGCTGCTGCAAACGTTTCTCGCTTCTCGACTTCCCCAAAAAAGCCCGGAACTTGTTGTTTTTGTTTTTTTTTTTCTGGCTTAAAACCACCCCGGTCTCTCGAGAAACAAACCTGTCGCCTCGTCCAGCAGCGCACGGGCCGCGGTGATTTCCCCAAACCCGTGAGTCACTGCCCACAGGCGAGGGAAAACGCAAAACAGGGCACCTGCACGGAGGGCAGGAGGTGACAGCACGGGTACAGGACACCCACAGCCCCCGGGGACGGGGCCAGCACCCCCCTGAGCCCACCCAGGGCAGGATTTTCTCCAGCAGCTCGTCACAGCAGGCTGCTGCACATCCCCCAGAGCAGCCTGTCCCCGTTTAGCACCGCGCCACGGCACAGGGGACCCTGCTGCCCCGTTTATTTTGGGGAGGGGAGGGGAGATTTGAGCTCCACAGAAAGCAAAAAGCTCCCCGCCGGGGCCCCAGGCTCCAAGAGCATCAGCAGCAGCTCAGCCGCTCACCCCCGTTGCAGCCCTGGACTTTGGAACAACAAATCTGGCTTTTTCTCGTTTCCTCCTTCCAGGACAAACCTCGCGGTGATGAAAATGAGCACAGCCAGCTACTGCCTTCACCCTGCCTGCAGAAAGCAGAGGCCACGCTCTCCCCTCAGCCCCTCCACGCTTCGGTTCCGTGCCCAAAGCCCCCCGGGACCGGGCGGCAGCCAAAAATCCTCTTGTATGGGTATGGGAAACCCTTGGGGCACCTGCTTCCTGCAGCAGCATCGAATGAGCCAGCTCAGAGCGAACCCAAAAGCACCGCTGGTGCTGTGGGAGTCACCAGGCAGCCTTTGGCACAGGTCTCACCTTCCCAAAACCTGGTTTCGGGGAGAATTTCCAAGCGGGCAGCTCCCTGCCCGCAGGACGGAGGGGTTACCCCATGGAGCTGCTTGCGCCAGCCCAGAGGATCCATCCCCCGAGCCAGGAAGGTGCTGGTTGCACGTGGGGCTCACCCTGCTCCGTGTTATGGGGCCGTGGGACGCCCCCCACCACCACCACCACGGCAGCGGTGAAACAAAAAAAAGGCTGCAGCCCTTCGGAGGTGGCATCCTCATCTCCGGCACATCCTCCAGCCGGAGAGGCTCCCAGGAGATTTCTTCCTCCAGCCTCCGCCGAGTATGAGCAACCATTTCCTCATCCCTGCCGGCCCCGAGCGAGGCGATAATGAGATCTCAAAGCCATTAGGAAGGCAGAAGCATCCTCTGGATGCAGGCAGAGCCCCAAAACTCCGCGGGCAGCCAGCAGCAGGAGATGACCCAGGCCACGTCCCGGCTCGTCGCGGTGACGCCGCCTTGGGGACCCCACAGCGGGGCCACCACGGCTCCTGGAGCCACCCCAAAGACACCGGGGGGCTCGGAGGAGACGAAGAAAAGGGGAGAGCACGGAGATTTTGGCCAAGACGGGCTGCTGCCGTCACACCGGGGGCTCTGGGGAGCAGCGGCGGCGCTGCCAGGTCTCTGCCACACTTGGCACGCTGCGGCCGGGAGCAACGCACGGCTTGGCCCTGCTGCTCCAGCTGGAGGAAGGGACGGCACGAAAAACCCTTCCCACCGAAATCGAGGGTCCTGGGACACCTGAGGAGTGACCAGGACCCGCTCCAGCCCCGTGCCAGGAGGTTGAAGCTCGCCCCTGCTCCGTGCAGCGCTTTGGGTTTTGAGCTTTGGGGTTGGAGCTGCTCGCAGCCGCTTCGAAGCCACAACCCAGCACGTTCCTACAGCTGGAGGGGGAAGAGGCTCTGCAGGAGGACGGGACCCCACACACGGCTTGGGGACAGGCATTTTGGGTTCCTGCGAGCACCGGGCAGCTGCTCACCCCCCCGTAGGAAACATCTCGCGACCGCAGGCTGCTGCTGGGCGAGCGTGGCAGCGCGCGAGGTGCTGCGCAAACAGGAAGAGCCCCGAGCCCTGCTCAGCCCTCACAGCAATTCTGGGGACAGATCCTGCTCCTTCTGCGCCCACCCTGCCAAAAAAAAATAAATCAGAGCTCTCCAGCATCAATCCCTGCTCTGAGCCCAGCTCCCTCCGAGGTGCTGCTTTGCCCACCCGGGCCAGTCCCGGTGCTCCCCCAGCTCCTCTCCTCTCTTCCACCCTGCTCCCAGCACCAGGAGGGCTGAACCCCCAGGTTTTGGGGGTGCTGAGTGCCCCCACTCTGCCAGCAAAGCCCCCCATGAGCCCCCCGAGGAGCCCGATCCAGGTAGGATCAGGGTTGCAGCCACCAGCCACGCGCTCCCCACGATCCCCACGACCCTCCCACCCCACTGCCGTCGCTCCTCAGAGCACATCAGAGGACTTTACCCTCAATTTCGTTTCCTTAACAGCCTCCTGGAGCAGATTTCACATCAAAAGCTCTTTCGAAAGCCCCGCTGTGCCAGCTCCTCCATTCCCCTGCAGGCTCCACTCCAACCGAGCGGCAGAGCTGGCTCCCCGCTGCCCACCCCACGGGGACCTCCCAAATCCCCGATTCCCTCAGCCCAGCGCTGCTGGAGCAGCTTTTCTCCCTTCCTGACCTGAAACCAGAGGAAAGGGACAAGGTTCAGCTGCCCCAAATCCCCCCACGTGGCTCTGCAGCTGCTGGGACAATCCCAGCACGAGGGGTTGGTGGCTCCTGAGCTGAAAAGCACGAGGATGCTGTGCTCTCCGCATCCTTCCCTGAGCATTGCCCTGTCTGTCCGTCCATCCCTCACCAACCTGGGATGAAAAAACTGCTCTCACCCATGCAGAGGAGCTGCAAAAAAACCCGGGTTCTGGGGCGAGGGGACAGCAGCCCTGCCCTAAATTAAGCAATCAGCCACGAAGCACCCGGGGGTGCAAAGGATGGGAAAAGCCGGCTCCCCGTAATCCCCCCTCCTCCCTCAGCTCCCCGGCTTTTTTTTTATTTTTTTATTTTTTTCCCCAAAAATGGATTTTAATCAAATGACTGCAAATCTATAGCTCGGGGAGGGAGAGCGGAGGCGCTGCACGCCCAGCAGGGCTCGCGGTGCCCAATGCTCCCTGCGGGTTTCTGCATAGGGACAGCCACCGATGTGTCCCTACTGCTGCCCCTGTGCTGCTCCGGGCTCGATAAATGTCACAGCGAGCCACAGGGCTGAGGAAATCAACCATTTCCCCGTATTTATGGGAAGCTAAACTCACTTCTCTGCTCTCGGGGATGCGGGGAGCATCCAGCGACAGCACAGTGGCCTGAGGGCACCGCGCGTGGTGGACCGGGGGTCAGGGAGCTGTCTGCAGGGGGATAAACGCCAAAAGGAGACGACGGTAACAACAAAAAATACCTAAAAATGAAACGGAGAACCGCTCCCAAGCCCAGCTTATCACCTGCTGCTGCCGGGAAGGGGCTGGCAGGAGAGCTGGGGGCCGCGGGGGCTGGCAGGAGGCAGGGCTGGCCCACCGAGAGCCACTTGACTGCCTGCCAGCGTCCCTTTGTTCTTCCCCCGGCAGAGGAAACGGGGGCTCCGAGCTGCTTCCTTCTCCTCCCGAGCAGGGAATTAAAACCTTAAAACCGAGGCAGGGTGGGGTGGGGTGTTGGGGGGAGAAGGAGGAGAAGCAGATGGGCCCGGACGGCGAGCTCAGACAGCCCCCGCGGGAGCTCTGGGGGGCTTACAGAGCCCTCCTGCTCCTCTGTAGGGCTTCGCTGTGCGCGGCCCGGCACCATCATCATCATCATCATCATCCTCATCTTCCTCCTGCCAGGGGGGGGGCAGGAATTAGCAGAGCCAGATGGGCCGAGCCCTGCTCATCGCGGGGCTCAGGGGCTGACACGCTGAGCTGGAGCTGCAGGAGGAGAGGCGAGACCCCCTTTGGGGAGGAGAGACCCCCTTTGGGGGAGGCGAGACCCTCTCCATTTGGGGCGTTTTCCAGGCTGGCGACGTCGATTTAATCGCAAAATCCACAGAAACCGTCGAAGTGCAGCGTGTGGAACGTCGCCCACCTCGGCTATGGGGCTGCCCTCCACCAAAAACCCTACAGGAGATCCCTCGGGGGGGGGATCCTGCAGAGCTGGGGACACCCAGTGCGCCCCCACCCCAAATCCAGCCCGGGCTGGGCTGGGGGTCCCCGGTTGCACCCCACAAGATACCCCCAGGGGGAATATTGGGGAGGGGGCCACGGGGACGGCACCGCTCCCCTACTCCCCAGGGACCCCCCCCCAGTAGCAGGAGGCTCCCATGGGGGGCACACCGAGCATCGGGGGTCTCATCCCGACCCCTCACAGCCCCCCAAGAGGGGGGTCTCCTACCCCAAAACCCCCCCGGTGCCACGGGGAAGGGTCCCCCCGTGCTCAAATCAACTCCCACAGGGACAACCGGGGGCACCCCCCCCGGCCCTAAAACCAACCGGGGGCACCCCGGGGCCCCCCACCCCCGCCGGGGGCCGCCCCTCGCCCACCCCAAGCCCCTCACGGGGCCGCCCCGGGGCCCCCCCGCCCCAGTTCCCTCGGGGAGCGCCGCGGCCCAGCCCGGCCGCCCACACGCCCGGGGGTCCCCGCAGGCTCCCGGGATGATTTTTGGGGGGATAGGGGGACACATCCCGGTGGGGGCCGTTCTCCTATATCGCGACTTTTTGTCGCGGGGCCGACACGAATCGCGATACCCCCCCCCTTCCCCGGTACCGGCAGCGGGGGGGGGGCACTCACCCGTGTAATGCACCACGCAGGTCTGGCCGCGTTTAGGGAATGTCCGCCCTACGGGGAGAAACACACACACCATCAGCCAACCGGGCCCGGTACCGGCACCAAACACCGAGGCACCGGGCCGAGAACTGATGAGAAGAAGGGGGAAGAAAAATAAAAAAGAAGCCATAAAAATCACCGGGCACCGACTCACCGTCGCCGGGGGCGATGGTTTCCACGTGCACACCCATCCCGGTGCCGGTGCTGCCGCCGGTGCCGCTCGTCGCGCACCCGCAGCGGCCGCAGCCCGAGGAAGGAGGGGCCCAGGGCTGCGCAGCCGCCGCCACAGCCGCCATGGAGCCCGCCCGCCAGCCCGCCCCGCCCCGCCGCCATCTTGCCCGCTTCCCCCCCCCCTCCTCCTCCTTCCTGCCCGGCCCTCGGCCGCCATCTTGGCACCGCGCGGTTGCCGGGGAAACCGGAGCCGGGCTCGGTGCAGCCCCCCCCCCCATTCCCCGTTTTTTTCCCTCTTATCTCTGTAATAAATGTTTTAGGCTTCAAAATAGGACTAGTGAATATGTCTCACATCCCGGCTGTGCCCCCTCCCCGTTCCTGTGCCCTCAAGGGTTTTGGGTGTCCCCTGGGGTGGGAAGCACAGTATGGGGTTTGGGCAATTCCACGTTAAAAAGGGCGGTTTGGGGCAATTCAGAGGGTTTTCTAACGGGAACAGAAACTGCTTCTTCTTTTTATTATTATTTAGCTCATAAAACTCATCTGTCCAGGCACAGGTTTTGCTTCAGAGTGGCCTCATTTCTCATCTCTGAGCAGCCCCAGGGGAGCAGAAGTGCCAAGGACGGGCAGGAGGTGAATAAAAACCCAGGATTTTCTGCAAGTGCGTGAAAATGGGACACGAGGAGACACTCAAAACCCGCTTCATCCCATTATCTGTTACTTTAATTGCTTCTCTTCCTTGCCTGCGTTCTTTTAAATACCAAAATACCCAATTGTGTGTGTCTTTTTTTCCCTTCTTTAAGCTGCAGCGTTATTATTTTACATTAAAGGTGTAAGGTGCGGCTCCTGCCCATGGTCTGTGACTTTCCTTGAGCACCACCAGGGCAGAAAATAAACGAGGGTGGAAGAAAATAAACGAGGAGGAGAAGGGGCAGACCTCAGCCCCTGGGTCTGACCTGCCCTGGTCCGGAGCAAGGGAGAGCTCAGCTCAGGTTCTGGTGTCCAAACTGTGGGGAAAAACACAACATCCCCCCAAAAAATAAATAAATTCTGCTCCAAGATCTCCCTGCCCTTTGGATCAGCTGCTGGCAGAACATGCGGAGGAATAAAGACCAGGAGGGAAAAGCGTGATCGCTCAGATTTAATAGCATAAAAAACAAATGAGATTATTATTATATATATATATATTTGGTGTATAGAAATATCTCCCCGTGTAACAGGCACCACAGAGGCCAGCGGCCACCCCGTGCTGCAGGAGCCTGGAGCCCACTGCCCGCACTGTGCTGCAGGGGTGGGAGCCCCCGCTCAGCCCCTGCCTCTGGCCCTGATTAATGTGTGCCTTCGAACATAATTAATGCTTGCTTCGGGGCATTAAAACCCCAGGAAGCGAGGTGTTGCCTCGTGGTTCGAAGGCTCTTGCTCGTTCGTAAACCTGCGGGCAGCGAGGCTGAAAAGCGAGGTGGTGGTGGAGGGCAGCACATCCCAGCGCCCGGCCGTGGACTCGGGCACTCGCAAGAAACATCCTTCACAAACCAAAAAATAAAACAAAAAAAAGTAAAAAAAGTAAAAGGGCAAAAAAAAAGGAAGCACTTTGTGTTTCTGAGAAATTACTCTGAAGCTGGGCTGTTGCGATGATCCTGCAGATGCCCTGACGCGTCTCTAAAGCACGATCTCCCCCCGCCCGTGGCGAAGCTGTGCCGCGAGGCTTCAAATTAATTCAGCGCCCAACCGGGGAGTAATTTGCTCAGATCCATGCCAGTGTGCACCGGACCGGAGAGCTGCAAGGTCAGCCAGCGGTCAGACGCAGCCCTAGCCCTAAAAATCCCTGGCCTCTCCTGCTGCCTCGGCGCGGTGCTGAGCGGAGCCGTGGTGCTGGTGGCTGGGGGGCTGATTCTGCTCTCCCCCTGCTGCCAGGAGGGACGTGGGGGTGCCGAGAAGCACCGGGGGAGATGTGGCCGTGGGCTGCAATTTAAAAGCCACTCAGCTGCTGCTGACTGAGCTGCTCCCCCAATTTCACCGCTCCTGCACGAGCTTTATGCTCCTGGCTGGAGCTTCACCCACGCTCAAAGAAATTGTAAACCTTTTTCCTATAAAAAGGCAGCCTAAGCACAGAGAGACGCGCTATCCAGGTGGTATTTTCCCTAAAAAATCGAGTTTCTGTCAATAACAACCCCTGTGGGATTTTGTGCATCCCACATGTTTAGGTGCCACCTCCTCACTGCAGCGCATTTGAGCATCGTGGTGAGGCTGGCGGGGCCCCTTCTCCCCTGCACAGCACGGATCTTGCCCAGATCTGTTGGGACCTGCAGGAAAAGAGGCCGAGGACCCCTGCCAGCCTGGCCTTTCGGGCATGGAAATGGGAAACAAGAAGAAACGAGGGCTGTCCCCGACCCCAGCACATCCTGAAAGCACAGCAAACCCACACCCGTCCCTGCTGAACTCACCGGGGTCAGCCCTGGTGGTGCTCCGAGCTGCCGCGCCGCGCCTGACGCCTGCTAAAAGGAACACAAGCGCTCGTGAAACCTGGAAACAGCCCCCGAAATAACCCTAAAACCCTTGGGAAAGGCATCCCCAGAGAGCTGGGCACACGCAGTCCTTCCCCTGCGCCCAATTTCTGCGGGGCTGGGACCGATGCAGGCACCCGGTGCCGCGGCTCCTTCGGGGAGCTCGAATTTACCCCATCGCCTCCAGCTCCGTCCTCATCTGCTTCCTCCGCTCCTCGTTGATGGGATGGAGGCAGAAGAGGGTGATGGCAATGAGCAGCAGGGTGATCGGGACCGGGGCCATGAGAAGCTTCAGGGCCAGGGTGACGGAGGGGTTGTACGTGCAGTCTCCGGCGCGGTAACCTGCAAAACTAAAGAACATTTCTCCTTCCCCACCAGCCCCCTGCACAAAAGCAAGCGGGCACCTCCATCTCTCTCCTTTAGAGGCTGTATTTGGGGAATTCCCTCTCCTTTCTGCTCCTTTCCTATATTGGAAAGGCAAATTTGGGTACCCCTGCAATTCATTCCAGCATCTCCACTCGGAGACTTCAGAAAATTGTGCTGGGCTGCCAAAGCTGGGGGGAGGGAGGTAGTGCTCGGTGGGGGCTTACTGTAAACCCAGCGTCGATATCCCCACGGCAAGGCCGCCTGCGAACTTGTTGAAGAAGACGTAGAAGGAGTAGAAGAGAGCCTCCAGGTTGAGGCAGCTGGGGTTCCTCAGCATGAAGTCATCCACGGCGTCGGGCAGCATGGACCTGGGCGCAGACAGCCCCGTGGGCATGGTGAAACCCGTGTTGGTGCTGCCTGAGCTCGGCCACCGCTGCTCCCAGAGCTTTCCAGGCAGCAGAAAGGGAAATCCCTTGCAGAAACCACTCTGGAAACCAACAGCAGGTCCCCAACAGCCCCCCAGCCGAGCCCGGAGGTGTCCCCGCTCACCAGGGCAGGAGGTAGAGCACGGCCATGCTGCAGCCCGCCACCATCATCAGGAGGATGAAGGCCAGGAAGTTGTGGCTCACCTGGGTGATGGCCACCAGGGCCGGGATGATCAGCTGGGGAAGCGAGAGGAAGAGGAGAAACAAAAGCACTCGGGCGCTTTCTGCTGCTCTTTTCGCCCTGCCAAATTGCAAGCTGTGCTGCCCCTTCCCTGCTGAGCCAGGCAGCAGCTGGGATGTGCCTGACGAGCAGGATGCCTCCTGCCACTGCTGTGCCTGGTGTGCAACCCCGTCCCCTTTTTGTCCCCCCCACGGGTAGCCAGGGCATGGCTCCTCAACCCACAGCCACAACCGGGGGCAAACTCACCGCCAGGCCCACCGTCACTGCCGTTTTCTTCCCAAATCTCCCCAAAAACCACTGCCAGAAGGGGATAGAGAGGGAAGCCGTGACCTGAGGAGGAACCAAAGGAGCTCAGCAACGTCCCCCAGGACTGCTGGTCTCTGTCCTGGGGACATCCTTGCGGGTTGGCAGCGGTGCCGAAGGGTTTTGGGGTGACGCTGGCGCCCACTCACCAGCATGACGAGCACCAAATGCTGGAATTTCCCGGCCAGCCCCGCGGCGTGGGTACAGAAGAAAGCAAAAATCCCCTGCATGACCTGGGAAGGTGACACGGGGACATTCGTAGGGTCCCGAATAGCGTGCGGGGTCACCTCCCCCCCCCGAGCTCTCCTCCTGCCGAGGCAGCTCTCGCACCTGGAAGGCCAGGGAGGCGAAAAGGAAGCCACAGAGCAGCTGGGTGTAGGGCTTGTGTCCCACGATCATCCTCAGGCAGCGGGTGAAGGGCAGCCCAGCCTTCCCCAGGGGGCTGAGGGGCCCTGGGGAGAGACAGCGGGGTCGCAGGGGCGGCGATGGGAGGCACAGGGGGACAGTGCCACCGTGTCCGGGTGCAGCTCAGCTGGGCGAGGAGCTGGAGTCTGACATCTCGGCACGGAGATGACCACAGAGGTGCCAGCTGCGTGCAGGATTTTGCTTCTCCGCAGGCTGTACCCACAAAACCCCTGCAACCCCACCCTTGCCACCCGGCTGCGCCCGCACGGACTTACCCGGCTGCTCCCTGACCCCAAAAACCAGAACCAGACAGGAGAGGCAGTAGATGGAGCCCAGCACCAGGGAGGCAGACACGTAGGCTCTGCGCTGGAAAGCGAGAGGCACCGTGGTGGCACCGCGGGTACCGTGGGCAGCCCCTGCCCCACATCGGGACCTGTCCTTACCGTGCCCTCCAGCCAGCCCGCGAGGCTGGGGGTGCTGCTGTTGGGCAGGGTCCCGTTCCCCAGCGAGCAGCCGTGCTGTCAGGCGGCCGTGGGATGCGCCCACCATCTGCCCCTGGATTCCCGAGCCGAGCAGCGTGCTGAAAACCTCCAGCCCCATCCCTGCCGGGCGGCCGGGAGAGGAACCTCAGCCCCACAGCCCCCCCGGCTGCTGGGACGCAGCCCTCAGGACCACGGAGCAGCTTTGGGGGTGGAATTGGAGGCACCAACATCCACAGCTGTCCCAGGAGGAGAAGAGACCTGCTGTTTCTACCTGCTCTCATTCTTTTTTTTTTTTTTTTCCCCTTTCGCTCCAGCAGTGACCTGCTGGGATGCATTTAGGATTCCTAATAATGCATCTGGGCCCTATGCCCTGCAGAAGACCACGCTGGTCTCATGGCATCCTGCTTCACCCCTCCTGCTTTGTGGCTTGTTCAAAGCTGAGGAACTCCTTCCCCCTGCTCTGGGGAGGGTCTCCAGGGCTGTAGGGACACAGGCACTTACTGTAGGCAGTGGCCGAGTCTCGGTCCCTCTGGGTTCCACCCAGGAACATCGTCAGGGACGAGTAGGGCACGTGGTAGCACTGGGGAGAGCACCGAGCGCTCAGCTCCGGCTGCTGCTCCCCTGCTCCACCGCCACAACCCAACCCGGCCCCACTCCTCTGCTCTCCGGTGGCTTTTTGCCCTCTTTTTCTTTTTTTTTTTTTTGCTTTTCCAACAGAGCAGCGATGGAGAGGTTTGTATCACCGTAGACAGGCTGCCCAGCACTAAAATTCACCGCTCCATGCTCCCCATCCCCTGCTCCCCATCTCCCAGACCCAGCTCCAGCTCCCTCGCAGCAGGGGCTGTGGCCGGGACACCCCGGCAGCAGAGGATGATGAACACGACAGCCCCGGGAAGGAACCGTGTCCCTTACAGTCATGCAAATCTGGAAGAAGTTGTAGGTGAAGAGGTACCACAGGAATTTCAGGGAGGCGGGGGCGCCGTCCGCGAGGGTGGACCACAGCAGGCAGTAGCAGAGCACCCCGAATGGCGTGGAGCACGCAATCCTGGGGAGGAAGCAGAGCTGGTCAGATGTGCCTCCGGATAAGCGGGCAGACTTCCCATTGCACAAGCTGCAGCCTCGTCCCCAGCTTCCAAACCGCAGCCCGGCTGTGAGATGGGGATCTGAGAGGGGCAGCTCCGCTCGAGGGCACCTCCATCACTCGGGCTGGGAGGAGAAAGGGGGAGTGAAAACAAAAGCAATGCCAAAAAAAAGTCATTCCCGAGTTGTTCACAGCTTCTTATTCTGCTGAAACACCCGAAGTCCTCGCTCGCCCTGCAGCAGAAAGCTGGGGGCGTTCTGTGGGCAATATCTGCTCATGGAGAGCGCCTGGTGGAGAGCTCCTGGCACAGCCTGAATGCCAAAACCTGCGTGTGCCCCCGCAGGGCTCCAGGACACCAAACCCCACGGCCTGAAACACGGGAGGCCTCGGGGAATCAGCAAGCACCCAGGTGTGCAGCACACTCCCTTAAGGCCTTACCAACCACCTCAAACTCTCAGAGCAGCATCCCTGCTGCCTCCTTGGAAGGTTTTTGAGCCCAAAACCTCACCCCTGAGGCGCTGCATGGATGCTCACCATGGGATCAGCTTGCCGAATTTTCTCCTGGGGCTCTTGCTGACCAGGAAGCCAACAGCAGGGTCAGTAACTGCGTCCCAGGCTCTTCCGAGGAAAAGGATCAGAGAGGCGTGGAACGGCTCCAGCTGGAGGGCAACCAGAAAGCACGGCTCGAAAGAGAAAAAAAAATCCTGGTGAAAGCTGCGAGCAGTCAGCACGACGCAGCTGGCTCCAGCCAGCATCCCCTGGAGACCGCTTCAGGCACCGAAATGGCCTGGAGACACCTCCCGTGTGCCCACCGACGGTGTTTGCATCGAGAAATTGTGATTTGGAGTGAACAACTCATTCCGGAGAGCATTTCCAGGGGCTTTGGACACCTTTGTTGAACTCCACCCCTGCGCCAGCCTGCTGGGTTTACGCTGAGCCCCTTGGTGGAGAACCACACCGTGCGCGGCGCTCACCTGCACCACGTCCAGCAGGAAAATCTGGAGGAAAAACCCCAGGGCGTTGCCCGTCATCTGGTAGGGGATGCCCCCGACGGCGTAGCAGAGCTTCCTGCACAGCGGCAGTCCTGGCTTCTCCTGCAAGGGAGACGTGGGGAGGAAGCCCACCCGAGCACAACCCATCCCTGGTGCCCCCTTACCACTGCTCCCCCCAAACTGCTGGGCTCCCCGAGGCCGACTGAGACCCTGCACCACGTCCTAGCCCCCAGAACACCCGTCCTAGCCATCATTTCCCCTCCTGTTGAGCCACAGTTTTGTGGTTTGAATTCTTTAACACGAAGCACAAATGGTACCACGCTGCCAGCCGCTGTGGCAGAGGCCATCCACGCAGAGATCCAGGATCCGGGGATCCCCATGGGTGATCCGGGGAAGCACAGGGAAGATTTCAGTGCGTGGCAAAAGGGCAGATGGCAAAGCCTCTGTTTTATTTGGCCGTGGTGAGCGTCAGTAAATACCGCACCAAGCCTCAAGGACCTGGCAAGCTCCCAGCAGCAGCCTCCAGCCCCGACGTGGAGCCGCTGCCTGGTGCCGTGCGCCCTGCGCCATGGGGAGCACGTGGTGGGACACGGGGTGACCCCGTGCACAGGGAGCAGGTGGCCAGCCCAGGCTCAGCTTTCTGCTCGGATCTCATGAGCAAATTGCCACCGTTATGCCCAGGGGAGCAGCGCAGGCGCCCGTGCCGACCTCCAGCCCCACCGCAGGCTGTCTTGGGGGGAGCACACTCATCAGGACCTCAGGTCCCAGGATGACAACACGTTTTGGGCTTTCCCAAGGCACCGAGCAGCTCCAGTGTTGTCGGGGAGGTGCTGGCCTTGTCCAGCCGTGGCTATAAAAGGCCACGGGCTCCTGCAGCAGGAGCTGAGCAGAAGAGCAGAGCGTGACAAGGGCCGAGAGCTTGGCTCAGAGGCAGCTGGATGGAGCAGCAGACCGTGGGTCACGCCAACAGCAGGGTCAGAGGGAAATGGAGCCAGGGATCGCTTCGTTCCCATGTGCCCTCAGACCCTGCAGGGTCCCAAGTGCCTTCCCTTTGTGCAACAATTAGCAGCAGCTCCTCTGCAGCCCGTGCCATGGAAAAACCACCGGCACCGCTGTGCCTGCCGGGGTACCGGCCCCTTCCTGCGCCCGCTGACCCCTGTGGGCCCCGCTCCCTGCCCAAATCGCCGGGCTCCAGCCTCACCCCACGGGGACGGCTGCAGCACGAGGCTTGCAGCACCGCCGAGCAGCACTTGCTCCTACACCACACCATTTCCGCAGCAGCTCAGCGTCTGAAACCACGGAGGCATTTCTCTCGGTTATTTCTCTCCGTTCCGCGGCAGCTTTTGTTGCCTTGACGCTCTCCGCAGCTCGCAGGGCGCCCCGCACGCCTCTGCCCCTTTCTCCTGAGAGGCAGCAGCAGCAGCAGCAGCAGCAGCAGGCAGAGCCTTGCTCTAACAACATCTTCCCCAGCTTGAGTCATAAAAATGCTTCAAAACACCCCCGCAGCCTGTGCCTGCTCGAGCCGTGCGGCGCTGCGGGGGTGCCTGCGCTCGCGAGGCTTGGTGCGCACGTGTGAGACGCGCTCCTGTGCGTGAGGCCACAGCACCCCAAAGGCCACAGCACCCCGAAGGCCACAGCACCCCAAAAGCTCCTACCTCGCCCTGGGACGCTCTCCCCTGCGGGTCTGCTCCCTCCTGGCCCTCAGCATCTCCGTGAGCGCCACGAAGCATGACCGCGTCCTTCGCCCGCGCGTGGCAGCGGCGGCGCAGAGGCTTTCCTCGCGCAGGGAGAGGAAGAAGGCGGCGAGGAGCGGCACCGCAGGCACTGATCAGAGCGAGATGGAGGTTTGGCAAGGGAAGATGCAACATCTGAGAGGCCCCCGGGGCGGGGAGGGGGGGGCTGATGGAGGAGAAGTGAGAGGCACCGAGGGAGGAGCGTGGCCGGAGCCTGCCCACGCGGCGGCGGCGGGATGGGAGCTCCAGGATTTCGGCAGCCATATGGAGAAACGTGGGGCTCTTCAACTGTCAGACTGGGTCTGGCACCTTCTCCCTGTCCCAGGGCTGCTGCCACACCAGGATTTCAGGGTACGGAGGAGGAGGCGCATTGCCCAAGCTCCAAGCCATCCCAGGAGCAGCTCCAGCCACAGCAGCAGCGAGCACCAGTGCGCAAAGCCCGGCACAAGCAAGGAAAGCACGGAGAGCACAGCAGGACCAGGGAGGTTCTCGCCCCAGGTTGCTTCCCAAAAAGCTCCTCTCCCCCGGGGGCTCCAGCAAGAGCAGGAGCCCAGCTCTGGCTTCTTATCCGGGGCTGCACAACCCTCAGCCCCTCTCTTTGCCCTCTCCTTAACGGGTGCGAGACGTCGGCGCTGCCCTAGCCCAGAGCAGAGCAGGAGGCGTGGGATGTGAGCTCAGTAATTACCAGCCTCTTTCAGCCTGCGCTCCCGAGAGATCTCCCACGGCAAGGCAGACCCCACACGGCATAATTGGAGCCCAGCGAGGAGAAATTTGCTTTTCTTCGGCACCTTTCACAGCCCAGCAGTGGAGCCCAGCAGTCTCGGTGCCACAGCCAAAAAAATTACCCCTGCATTAGGAGCGGCAGGAGCCCGGGGGCTGCGTGGGAGAGCTCACGGCACGCAGCCTGGCAGGAGAAGGCAGAAATCAGCTCGAGGAGGCGGGCAGGAGTGGGGGGGGGTCCTTCCACACGCCACCCCCTAGCCTTGTGCTCGGCCACCCGCTCGCTGCAGTCAGCTCTTTACAAATGCTGCTCCAAATCAGTCGCAGGAGCCTCACCCTGCTCCTGGCCAGGGCACCAAGAGCCAGTCCCAAGGGGCACCCTTTCTGCAAGGCTGATCAACACACCGGTAAAAAAAATAATTAATTAAAAAGCATCATCTCCAGCTCAGCCTTGCCTTGTCCAGCGGGGGTTAATCTAAAAAAAAAAACCACCCAAATTTTGCAGGCTGAGTCAGAACTTGGTTAATAAGCCGCAGCACAACTGAGTCAGCGGCATCTCTTTTCACTGCTATTTTTCTGACATCTCAGATAACAAATATCGCTGGCGCTGGACCACAGCCAGTGCCGTGGGAGCCAAATCGCTGTCTCCCACCAGCATATCTGAGCTCGCATCTCCATAAGAAAGCGCAATGCATCCCTACCCACCCGAGAGGAAAGGGGAAACTCAGAAGGAAGCATAAAAGCCTGGATTTTATTATTTTATTCTTTTTTTTTTTTCTAGGCCATTTTGTACCCGCTCAGTACGCAAACCTACATCGGGGCAGAGACAAGGCACCTTTTGCAATTGTACTCGGCACTTAAAATCCGGCTCCTCGGCGCTCATTTACTCCCCAGGTGCAAATAGCTGCATTTTCTGCGTATGCACCAGAAATCCAGCAGCCAACCGAGCCACCTCCCAGAGTAGCTGCCTCTATTGCTCCCTGGCTGTGTCAGAGCACAATTCTCGTCGACGCAGGCGGGGAAGCTTTATTTTTGCTCTGCTCAGATCCTCCCCAAGCCCTTTTTCCTGTTGCTCGGTGCCTTGTGCAAGACGGCGTTACCCGTCTCGTCTAGACAGCACGTCCTGGTCGCTGGTGCAGCGCGGGGAGCTCTCATCCTGCCTCTGCGTGACAGCGTGGCTCAGCTTTGTGCCAGAGGGACAGATTTCGGAGCACGCTCCCCCCGGGGAGTTCAGTTGTACCCAAAGGCTTCCTTTAGGGGCACTTTTTGATCAAAAAAAAAAAAGCACCCACCTCCCCGGCTGCTAACGGGCTGCTGCAGGCGGTAAGCTCCCCAACAACGCCGTGCACCAAAGCCCCAAACCTGACCCAGCGAGCTCACCACGCACAGCACAGGTCCTGGAGCGAAAGGACGATGCCTTTTCCATCTCCACCCCGACTTTTTGCTGTCAGATGCTTAGGAATAGGCTTTGAACGAGGAGGGAGAGAAGGCAGCGGTGCTGCAGCTGCACAAAAACTCTGAGCCTTGTGCCGAGGGAAGCCAGAGCTCTGCTGCTAAAGGAACGGGGTCGTGCTGGAAGTTACTCACTGCACGGGCAAGGTCCCTTCCCCAGAACCCTGTTCCCTGCTGCAGAAGCACGAGATCTTATCTCCGAGCCCGGGGCCCAGGAACGTGTGATTCAGACAACCCCAAGCCGTGCCGGTTCCACAGCTTTTCGCAGGGTGCCGTGACCTGGAGAGGGGCTGCTCAGGCAAGGCAGCCCCACTGGAAAAAATAAATAAAATAATAAATAAATAAATAAATAAAGGAATAAATAAAGGAATAAATAAATAAAAAAGGCTGAAGCCAGTCCCATCTGGAACCTATTCAGGAGCTCCCTGCACTGCGAGGCAGGCTCGGCGCAGACAAGGCAGCGCGGCGAGTAAGGTAAGCATTTAGGAATGCAGTAAATAAGTCAGGAAAAAAAAAGGCTAAATCGGTAAATCGAGAGGTGCTTGACACGGGAGCTCCTCAGCTGCCGAAGACGTGGGCCTGTTGCATGATTTGCAATACACTGCTCTCCGCAGAAGTGCGTAATTGGGAAGCGTGGGATTCGTGTGGCAAACCTTCCACCAGCAGGGTTCTGAGGACGGGTCTCCCCTCCCGGCTCTGTGGGCTCCTGCTGCCAGCCCCAGCACCCCAAAGCAGCTCCCTTGCTTCGGGCAGCTCGGGTTTGCTTCCTCTTGTGGCCGGCGCAGTGGCAAGAACCCCATGGGCACAGAAGCCCCCAGGGGGGCACCCCACAACGAGACGCTCCCGGAGCCGTTTTGCCCTGCGGAGCAGCGCACACCTGAGTTACCGGAGCAAGAACAGGAGCTGCAACCAAACCCTCAGCTAAAGCCGACTAACCTCAGGCTTTTCTCCTTCCTGAAGTGAACTGAAACTGCCCCAAAAAGCCCCAAAGCCTGGCAGGAACGGCCTCGCCTCGTTAACAAGAGCGCCCTGTTCCGCACCAGTTGGCAAGCGCGTGCAAGCAGCTCGCCCCCCCTGAGAGCTCACACCTTCATTGCCGCTGTACCTGCAGGATGGAAAGCGAAGTGTGTGGCTCTGAGAAGCCTGGATTGAGGCTTAAAGCACGAGAGGAGCTGAAGGGCTGTCCCCATCCCCTGGGGACACAGCTGGGGTGGCAGGGAACCACGGGCACGGCTGGCAGCGCCTGCTTGGGTGGCACCAGGTGCTTACGGTACAAGCAGCGGTGGGAGCGCATGGCCTGGTAGGAAAAATAACCTCGTTGCCTAATTAGAGCTGTCACTTAAAATTACCAGCCTCCATCCGTCAATGTTCTGGTTCAGGATCAGAAATGAGACCGTTCAGAGGCTGCGAGGGGGCAGCGCTGTCCTCTCCCCAAAGCGGTTCTTGGCACTGGTGTGCCTGGAGCAGCGAACTGGAACAGCAGCTCCTGCCCAAGGCCCTAACGGAGCCATCGCAGCCTCCCCCTGCGGTGGAAGCTTTGGAGAAAGCCACACGTGTCTTGTTTTGTGTGACAACGACACCAATCCCCCAAGCCACTTTTCCACTCTAAGCGCAGAGGCAGAAGAAACGTTGCCGCACGGTCATTTTTCTGGACAACAGAGGACGCGCAGAGCAGTGCTGCTTTCAGAAGAAAATGCTCCTGACCAAACGTCCAAAAACATCCCTGGAGCAGGCTGAGATCCTTTCCATCACTCCTCCAAACAAACGCATCAGGGAGCTGAAGACCCCCCCGGGAATAGGGCATCACATCAAGGTCACCTCCCTCCTCCTGGAATCGTTTAGCGTTGTCCAGCAACGGGGAGCAAAGATAAAAATTAGGCTATAACAACCAGAACCAGCCCCAAAAATAGGCCAGAACGTGCAGCCATCCTCTGCCAGCTGCAGGTGCACCCACTGGGATTTTTTGCTCCCTATCTCGTTGCTGCTGCCTTTTGCCTGCCAGCTGAGCCAGTTGGTTTGTGCCGTGATCTTCACGTTTTTACCCAAACGAGCACCCGAAGGCGCAGCTGTACCTAGAAGCTGGTGCAGCTACACCAAAATTTTTGGCCAGAGGTGCTGGGACAGAAGCTCCGAGGCAGGAAACACGGACCAGGAAACGTCCGACAGCGACAGCAGCGCTGCAGAGAGCAGGCAGCGTTCCCAGGAAATTGTGCAAAGCGGGCTTCGGGGAGGAAACGCTATCAGAAAACACAGGAACTAAATCTTAGCAACACCGACGTGAAAAGGAAGAGGAGGAAACAATGAGCTGGGTATGGAGGAAAAAAAAAAAAAAACAACAAGGAAATCCTACAGCTGCCAGGCTGAGGAAGGGAAAACAGCACTCTAAAAACCACAGGGACAGGCATCGGCTGCAGTCAGGACAGCTCAATTATAAAACCGAGCTGCCTCTTACGCAGAAATTGAAATTTTTTACTTTAGAAATTGAGGTCTGCCTTAGCATGTGTGCGAAAGACCAGGAAGACGGGCAAAACTCCCTCGTGGAGGGAATAATTAGAGGAAAAAAAATCCCAAAGTGGAAAAGTTGTTGGTGCAAAGGACAAAGAATCGCTTCTTCACAGGTGCAAACTTCGGTTTTAGGAGAGCCGAATCGCAGCCAACGACTGTTAAAATAAAGAAAAAAAACGTTATGAAGGAGATATCCCCATCGTGGCTGCTGACACCACGTCGGCGTCCTTCAGA